GGGTTTTAAAAGATTCATTCAGTCAGTAAATACTCACTGAGCACCTGTGTTGTACCAGGCAAGCATGCATTCTGGGCACTGTGTTTTCAGCAGAGAGCAAGACAGACCAAACCCCACCCTGCGGAGCTGTCGTTTAATGGGACGAGTAGGCTGAGTAAGGATTCACCAGGTAGACCTGCCTTGTGGTGGCAGGTGCAAGAGTACATTTCAGGCGGAGAAGGTGGTGGTGTATTTAAGGAGCTACACAGGGTCTTAGTCCCGTTAGGAGGTAAGGGGTGAGGCAGGGCTTGGAGGTGGAGGCGACAGAGGTGCTGGGAGCAGGCTCTGCAGGGAGGTTGCGGAAGTGCTGGCGTGCCCTTTGGAAGGCGGGGTTCATTCCGGAGCTGGGAGGGAGCCACTTCGGGGGCTCAGGCGGGGCTGCCCTGAAAGGTGCGGGGTGGAGGGCTGGGGGGAGTGGAGGATTAGAAGGAGGCAGGGGGAAGACTCGGAGACTTCCGCTGTAATCTCAGGAAGAAAGGGTGAAGTTCTGAAGTGCGGCAGTGGGGTGCGTTTCAAATACGTGGATTCAAGGAAGATTTGCTCCGTGAGTAGGTGGTTGGGAGTCGTCTGAATCCGCGTACAAATAAGTCCTGATCTCACACTACACACAGTTAATTGCAGTGGAGGTTTGACCTAATCGTGAAAGGTGAACAAGAAAACTAGAAAATAATGGGGAGAATGTTTTCTTGAGGTTAGCAAATATTTTTAAAATAGGACCGAAGGATCTAACCGTAAGGGAAGGGAGCGATAAACTGGACTGCACGGAGATCCGAACTCCTCTTCGTCAGTAGGGACCGCCGAGTGCGTGAAAGGCACGCCCAGAGCAGGGGAGTGTCAGCAGAGTGTGTGCTTAGGGAGGGCTCTTAGCCAGAGCACACAAGAACTCCTTCGAGTCACGTATAAAACACTGACGGGTGAGCAGGAAAACAGGAAAAGAAGGTATCCAAGTGGTCAGTAAGCACGTGCATCAGTTAGTCGTAGTGAGATGCAAACGGAAGCCATCGTGAAGCCCCCTCCTCCGCCCCAGGACGGCTGGGAAAGGCCCAGCAGCTGCCCGAGAGGGGGCGGGGACGCAGGGCGGGGCTGGCTGAGGAGGAGAGGATTGGTGCCGCTGCTTTGGAAAATTGTTCGTCACCTTCTGATGGAGCTAAGCACGAGAACCCTGGTGTAGCTAGAAACACATCGTGTGTGTACCCAAAGGCACGTGCAGAGTGCTCGTGGCAGCATTATTCGTAACTGCTGGCACCTGGAAGTAACCCCGGTGTTCACCTCTTCCAGGGATACAGCCGCTGCGGTCTGTTCCGGCCAGGGAAGGCAGCCAGCAGTGCACACGGACAAATGTGCAGTGAGCGGGTGCCACCCACGTACGGTGGAGCTCAGGAAGTCAGACACGAGCATGCGTGCGTGTTTAGTTCCTTGTGTGCGGAGTTCAAGCTGAAGCGAAATTGTCATGAGGATCTGGCCAGTGAGGGTGTGTGAAGGGGATGCTGACCGACAGGGAGCCTGGCCGGGGGCCGCTGCAGCTGGGATTCTCTGGGGCAGGGGCGGGGCGGGGGCATGTCGGGGTTCCCGCAGGACACTGTTTCTCAGTGTTTGGGATATATATATAATATGTTATATGTATTAGATATAATGAATATATATAACTTATATATAATAAATATATATAATTTATACATATACATACATACATATATAGTTCAGGTTTAACAGAACAGAGAGAAGAACGCTTTTAATTTTAGGCTTTGAGAGTGGTGAGACAGCCCTGATGGTGGTGGGAGGGCGGGGGCTTTCCGCACACTGAGGCACACAGGGTAAGAAACCAGTTTAGCAAGTCTGCTTTCCACAGAAGAGGTTACCCAAACGGCCCCCGAGTCTGGAAGAGGGCTCAGCATCCTTCTCGTCGTTGGGGAGTGTGAATTGTCAGGAGTCGCTGAGCCCGCCCCCGTGTTTCAAATGAGACAGCAGGGCCCGAGCTCCGCTGGGTGGGCAGCGTCGCAGTGGTTGTGTCTGTCGTGGCCGAACCCTGGAGACAACCCAAGTGCCCGTCAGCAGGGGATGGACGAAGACACCGCGGCGTGTCGGGGAAGGGCCTGGTGCCCCACAGTAAAGCGCAGCGAGCCGCTGACGCGCTCGGCCCCGCTGAGCTGTGCAGATGTCACGCTGAGTGACAGACACCACGGGCGCAGGAGCTCATGCCGAGTCGCTCGGCCTTGCGCAAAGGTCAGCAGTCCGGCCGAAGGCGTTGCTGGTGACAGAGTCAGGGGAGGGGGTGGCTGTAGATTGGGGAGGGGCTCGAGGGACCCTTCTAGGGTAATGGAAGTGGAAATCTCGTTCTTGAGTTGAGTGGTAGTGACAGACGTGTCTCCACTGAGCTCTGAACTTAGGGCTCATGCCCTTTACATACCTCACCCTGTGTATTTTGTAACTTGGTTTTCAAAGTGATGGAAAAAGTGTTACTGCAATCATTTTAAGTATGTAAGTTTCCCTAAAATTTCCGAAAGTCCCGTGTGACCATGGCTGCCATGGAGCCCATCTCTGCCAGGCCTTCGAATGAGTGGAGAAGAAACAGGACCGCTGGCCCCTCCGGGGCGTGTAGCTGGGGTCTGGCTGGGAGCCCAGAGGGACACACACGGGTGAGCGGCAGCATAAGAGGTAAATGGCACCGGGAAGGAACAGATCACGGGTGTCCTAAGACGCCACGTGACGCACTAGTTCATGTGCCTTTGTCTTTCAGTGAAAACTTAAATTTAAGTTGGGGTGTGATAGGAAAGGAGAGAAGCTGTGAAAGTCTCTGACAACAGGGGCAGTTAGAGCCCTGCAGTCACTGAGCAGACCTGGTGGCAGGAGCCAGCACGTGCCCAGGATGCGGGGACCCCAGGATGCGGGGACCCCAGGGTGCGTGTGACTCCCACCGGGCAGGACTGGCGGGAGGCGTCAGGTTTTAGTGAGTAAAGTGAACCCCGAGTCTGGACAGTGGACCGAGCACCTCGGTCAGGGCGTTTGTGTCCGCGTGGCGTCTGCTGGCCTTGGCCCCCTCCGGGCTGCAAGTCGGAGCTTGGGCCGTGGACACTAGGCCTGTTTTCACCCCTGGAAACACTGCCGCTGCTGACTGACAGCGCTGTCTGTCACGTGCCAGTCTTCAGACCTACCGTGTGGCACCTGCTCTTCAAAGAAAACAAGGTGACCCACTGTTCCCATCACGGCTTGTGACTCTCGGTTCTTCCCGTGTGCACAGATGTGTGTGCCGTGGGCGCATCGCTCTCTCTCTCTGCTGCTTTCACGCCTGCAGGCTCTGGAGACTGACCCAGGGCTCAGGGGTGGGGGCACCCTGGTCCCGGAAACCGGGCAGCCTGCCCCTGGCTGCGGGTTCCTGCCGGGACTGGTGCTCCCCTCTCTGAGTGCCCCGCTGCGGCCCCTGGGTTTCCTCAGGGTCCCCTGAGCCACAAGACTCAACCTAAAGCGCTGTGCAGAGCCCAGCTCAGTGCCCGTCTTTTATCCTCCCTGGTGAATAACCAGTCTGTGCCTGAGGCCCAGCGGCCTCTGCAACAGATTGGTACCCGTGTGGCAGTGTCTTGTGAGGCGAAAGTACCCAGATCACCTGGCCCCTTGGAACCAGGAGGCCCCGTGAGGTGCGGCCAGCCCAGTCAGACCCCGCCCTGGTTTGAACGGGGAGGGAGGAGCGCACTCTGTCCGGGTCCCAAGCTGCGCCTGGTGCCTCTGTGCATCCCTTTGGGTGTGGTTCGTTGTCCGGGTGAGAAAGTGGTACCATTTTATGAAGGTAGGTAGCTTCCGATCATGTAATTGTTTTCCATCCTGATTTTTCCTTTCAAAGGCTCTGAGTGGTTGATCTCATCTTTCAGAGACTAGACAATTTAGCTTTCCTGGGAACAGTTAGTGGGGCTCCAGGTCCTTTTACGTGTGCTCAGGGAGGGTGTGCTGAGCGAGTCCCTCTGACACCAGTCAGCTTCGTCTGCGTTGTGCCGCCGGTCACTCGTCCGCTGACGGAGAATCCCCTCGCAGGTCCCCATTCTGAGTGGTGCCAGTGACCGTCCCCCCTGTGCTGGGTGCCAGCTGTGCGACACGCCGTAACGTTAGCGCCACCAGGAAAGCAGTCGGCACTGCCGCCTGTGAGTGTTGCGATGCCGTTGAGTGAGACACATTCCGATCGCAGAGATGCAGAACTGAGAAAGTGCCATTTATATGATGAGTGATCATGTACGGTAGATGCTCTTGCGTAGTATCCCGTTTGTTTTATTATTTTTTAACGGGACAGCTCCGACAGATGCAGCAGTAGAGAGGACAGTAAATGGACTTCTGGGTACCCCTCACCCCATCTCTCACGCCGTCTGTGTCGCCGGCCGCTTTCCCCGCACTTGGTTTTCGGGCACACCCTGGTGAGTGCGTCTCGTTGGTGTGGACATGTTCCAGCGTGTATCTCTGAGCAACAGGAGCTCATCTTCAGAGGCGTAATCACACCTAAGAACATTAACGGTCATTTCTAGGTATCACCTGCTAGCGATTGTGTGCTTCGATGTCTGGCATTGAATGTGGTCTTTCTGGAATGGGGCCCAGCAGTCATCTGAGGCTTCAGCTTCCCTTCTGTTATACGTGCCCTTCAAACTGAGATGTGACCGGGCCGCAGACTTAATAGGTGATGACAGTGGCCTTCTTATAGCCTTCTTCTCTTCATAAGATGAAAAATAATCTACCATGGAAAGCTGTAGTCCTGCCAAGTCCCTCACATCATCCACATCATGTATTTGGGCATAGATCACGCCTTCTCTTTGGACGTGAACCGGTGTGATTGTTGTCATTGACCCTTTTTTCTTTTCTGTGGTTTGGCAGGTGACAGCACTGTTAGGCTGGGCGTCTGCTTGAAGGGGCAGGCTAGAACGTGCGGGTGCAGGTGCGGGTGCTTCCCCGAGTGCCCACTCACGCGCCCGCCCTTGTGCCCCCAGGTCTCCGTGCCGCCCGGCGCCCTGGACTGCTGGGTGTTCCTGAGCTGCCTGGAGGTGCTGCAGAGGATAGAGGGCTGCTGCGACCGCGCGCAGATGGACTCGAACATCGCCCACACCGTGGGCTTGTGGAGCTACGCCACCGAGAAGGTGACCGCCCCCGCGTGCACCCGTGGGCATTGCAGTGGGCGGTGCTTCTCAGTGCCGGGCGCGGGAAGCTGTTGGACAAGCGGTGTTTGCTTAGTGACCACACGGGCAGCTCTCGTTGCTTTCGGCCGCGTCTGATAACAGCCTCGGACTGAGTGGCTGCTACTCATATCACTTCGTTCAGCGCAGAGGAAGCACTTGCTATGGTCGTGATAATGGCGTGGCCGCCACCAGCTGTTGGGGGGGGGGCTGGTCTACAAAGACGGGTGTGAAGCCGGTGGAAATGCAGCGTGGTCCCCTGTGGGCAGCCAGTGCGGCTGCAGACTGAGCGGGAGAGTTGGAAAGCTTGGGAGCACGTAGGCCGGTGAATGGCCTCAGCCCAGGCTTGCCAACCTCAGAGCCGTGCTGAGAATTCCTGTGTGGAAGGTGGGAGTTTGAACTGGTCCCAGTAAGATATATTTTTACGTCCAGATAAGAGTCATTTAGATGGGAAAGCTAAATGTCTTCTAGGATTTAGTTGGGCTTTAATTTTTATATTTAAATTTATAAATCCTCAGCTGACTCTTCGGGCAAACTAATTGAAATTGTGGATTTGTCCCAACAGCTAAAGGCCCTGGGCTACCTGTGTGGACTGGTGTCGGAAAAAGGACCTGACTCAGAAGACCTCAACAGGACGGTCGATCTTTTGGCAGGTTTGGGAGCCGAGCGACCCGAAACAGGTACTTTCTGAGGTGTCCCTGTGCAGGTTGTATGGTGGAAAGTCATGACGTGTTGGCTGTAACCTGGCACGTGTAGTGCAGCTTCTAACAATGTAACAACTCACTGTTTGGGGGACTGCAGTCACTGTTAGCTGGCTAGATTCACACATGGGGTATTCTACCTTCTAGTGACAGAGAAATATCAGAACTCATTTAAGAAATCGTTGGAAGTCTCCTTAAAACCGTGCCTGAGTTCCTCACAGGCTCACACGAGCTGATTATGACTTTTTACAGCCCACGTGGCCTTTGAAGGCACCGGTATCCCTGAGAATTGACGGGTGGCCCAGTGTTCTAACAATGTGGCCAGACAAGCCCTTCCCTCCGTAAGCTGCTCCTAGGTAACTAGGCACTTTGAGAGGGACATGGCTAGTTCCTCTGGGTGCGAGAGAGCGATGCGTATGACTCAGCAGAACCGTCGCTGAGTCAGGCGTACCCGACGGACTGAGAGGACGCCCCCTAACTTAAGTGTGCCTGAGGGGGAGGCTGTGTGGGGTTTGTGACGCACCGCGGCGCTCGGAGACCACCTCAGGCCACTTTGGCAGGAATTTGATTCGCTGGAGGATTTGTAGTGCATTCTTGTAACAACTGGAGTCTCAGTCAAAGATAAAGTGTTACAGGAAGGGTCTAGACTATGTCATGCTTTGTCAATTGGACAAGAATATAGGTGACTACGCAGTTCCGTCCGTGTGGCCGTGTGTGGTCCCCACACATGTCCGGCGCAGCCGTCTGCCTGCGATGGGTGAGGGCGGGTGAACTCCTGTGTCTGGAGATGACGAAGATGCATAAGGACCCCTCCTTCTTTTCGTTTAAGCCAACACAGCTCAGAGTCCTTATAAGAAACTCAAAGAAGCATTGTCATCAGTAGAAGCTTTTGAAAAACACTACTTAGTAAGTATTTTATATGCTGTTCCTTGTCTGTCCATAGCAGAAAACTCCACTCCACAAGAGTTTTTCTGCTGTGTGACCTTTTGGGTTGGGAATGAGCTGGGAAAAGGAGGGAGAATGAGAGAGAGAGAAACATGTGCAAGGGAAACATAGATTGGTCACCTCTCTCACGCCCTAAACTCGGCCCACAACCTAGGCCTGTGCCCTGACCGGGAATCCAACCTTTCAGTCCACAGACCTGCACTCAATCAATCCACTGAGTCATACCAGCCGGGGGTGGGACCTCCTTCTCGTTGCCTTTTCTGTTTCTTTGGTACCCTAGGAAGTCGTGGGTAATACCTGGAAGAGTTGTTGTTCATTACATGTTTATTACTACTCATGGGGCCATACTTATGCATAAACTCATCTTCACATGGTTATAGTTCAAAATAGCGTTGCTCATTCAACAGAATAGAAATTGTAGCAGAGGACAATGAATAGTTTTCCACGGACAAAAGAATAATTTGGACTTGAGCAGCAGAGTGATTGTGCTTGATTTTAGCCACAGTGGCTAAAGGATCTAAATGTGGGACTTTAGGAAGCAGGATAGGTAGGAGCTCGGGGAGTCAGCTGCGTACTGGAGTCCTGGCTAACTCGAGAGCATTAGGTGGTAGCCTCTGATCATTTGTCCCTGTCATCCAAAAATTGAGAAAAATACTAGAAATGTTACCTACATGCAGAAAGTACTTTGACAAGTTAAAAGTTTTATGCTTGCTGAGTTAATATTTTTTAATTATGCTTCATAATTTTATGCACAAGTTAATGACTTTGTATAGATTACCGTACATAAAGACTCAACGCAAAAGTAGATACAAAGTAAAAAAGATAATGTTAGCCCTGGCTGGCAAAGCTCAGTGGATTGAGCACGGGCTGCGAACCAAAGCATCGCAGGTTTGATTCCCAGTCAGGGCTCATGCCTGGGTTGCAGGCTACAGTCCCCAGCAACCGCACATTGATGTTTCTCTCTTTCTCTTTCTCCCTCCCTTCCCTCTCTGAAAATAAATAAATAAATAAATAATTTAAAAAGATCCTTATTAAAAAAAAGATAATGTTATATTAGTAAGTCTTTTGCTTCAGCACTGGTACATAAATGTCAGATATGTGTAGCATTAAAATTAAAGTACAGTTATGTGTTTTTGTTTGTTTTTTACCCTTCCGCAGGATCTGTCCCACGCCACCATTGAAATGTACACAAGTATTGGGAGGATACGATCGGCCAAGTTCGTGGGAAAGGATCTGGCAGAGTTTTACATGTGACTGATTTTGGACTTTTCTTTGAATTTCAAATATTTCACATGTGTTAAGGGAAGATTTATTATGCATGGAGTTAATATGAAGTGTGCATAAGTTTATAGAACGAGAAATAGAGGATCAGTGAACCAGTTGTCATCATTTTTTAAAATTTCTTCTGAAAACCAAATGGAGGGATTTTCAGCTTGTTACTCTTAATAGCTGTTACTGATCTTTGCGCTCTAGTTAGTTAGATGAACATAGTGAACTTCCATGTATCGTGCAGTATTACGATTACATGTACTGAAAGACTTGTGAGGAAATGTGGAAGAGTCTACATCTAATGGCAGCCAAGCTGGGATGTGGACTCTTGTTCTGTAGCATTTCCTCTAGCTGATGCCGGATGCCCCCAGGACTCTGCAAGCCTGGAGGTCCGTGGTGACGCACAGTGACCCCCCGCGTGGTGTCGTGCGAGGAGGTGGCGGTGGCTGAGTGGCGGTGAGCACGAGCGCGGGCGCGTTCCCGGCCGTGCCCCGGCCTTGCCGCCGGGTTCACAGCGCAGGCTCGGACAGCGTGTTCCCACCCGTGCGATAGAATGGGCTGCCGAAGCCGAGAAGCCCTGGCCGGCCGTGTCCCACTCTTTGAAAGCGTGGGAGAGGAATGCACATAATAAATGAAAAGATGTTTGAGGCTTTCCAGAAGAAATGTGTGTTTGACATGGTATCTTAAAGTCTGTGGTAGTTTTAGTAGCTGAGGCAAGGAGGAATGATGTATTTTAACAGAGTGAAGTGACAGCAGAGGGGACTCAGAGGTCATCCAGGCGAACTTCCGGTTCTGCAGCTGCACTTCCGGCAGCTGCCCAGCCACACGCCTGACGAACAGCATTCGGGGCTGTAGTCGGCTCTCTTGAGTCTCCGTCCAGTGTGTCTCAGCAGTGAGCTCTCTGGGGAGCCGAGGAGCCGTGTCTGCAGCTGCCGTGAGCGGTGCCTCCCGGCCAGGACCTGCGGTGGCTCGTCGGAGAGCCGGGTCCTTGTTTCGGCTTGGCCGCAGGCTAGCCGGGTGCCCACTGGCCTCTGTCTCCCGGGGCTGGGTGACGAATGGTCTCCTGACTCCCTTCCAGCTCTAGAATGTGAGAAATGTGAGAAGCTATAGCTAGAGATCGTAACTGAGGAAGGATGGAAGGTTTGGGCCTCTTTAAAAAGGGTCAGGGCAGGAGAGGACCCTCAAAGTGTAGAAAAACAAACAATTTGATAGGTTTAAAAATTATTTGATTTGCATGTGATCATGAGAAATGTCATTGCTTCCAGAGTAGGGCAGTAAAAAGGGAATGTCTTCCAAGAATGCCTGTTTCGTGTCAGCCTGTCCCTGGGCTTGGAGGGGGGACCAGGGGACCCACGTTGTCGAGGAGGCTTTGGCAGGCTCTCGCTAATTGTGCTTTCAGTCGTGCTTTGTTTTCTCCCGAACATCTTGAAGGTTTAAATCGGGAAGATCTTCTCTCGGGTGATAAGTGTTGCTATTTAAATTCTTCATAGCGCTCTGAAAATCTTGGAAACCTGCTCAGTGCTGCTTGCTTAAGCTTCCCTCTTGGTGGGGCCGTGTGGAAACACAGACTGCTCCTGTGTTCCCCTGCCTGCAGTGGGTAGGGGGCACCGAGCCTGGATTTCGTAGCTTCCCTCTGACCAGCTGTGCGCCTGTGGACAAACCCTTTCCCTTTCTTACCCTTGGCATTCTTACATGTCAGGTTGGAACAGTGAACGGTGCCCTCACTTTCTTCTCATGAGACTCAGCTGTGGGAGTTCTTTGACGAGCACAGGACGCTGGGCAGGCAGTGCAGGGTCGTGCCCTGAGCCCGATTCTCAGGTCCAGAGAGGCACCCCCGCTCCGGTGCCTGCTCTCAGACCGCAGTGCTCAGGGCACGGCGGTCTGTGAGGGTACACAGGTCACCTCGGGGGTGGCGCAGGGGGCGGAGGGCGTTGTGGACTGATTATGACTGAGTTTGTGGATCACCGTGAGCCGTAACAAAAGCTTCTGTTTGTTGACTTGCAAGGAGGAAGAAGTCTCCACAAAAGGCGGAGAGCTACCTCCAAGGGGCGCTGAAGAATTACCTGGCCGAGGGCTGGGCGCTCCCTATCACGCACACACGGAAGCAGCTGGCCGAATGCCAGAAGCACCTTGGACAGATTGAGAAGTATCCTTTAAGTGCAGCATTTTTGTGAGAAAGAAAATTGTTATGTGTTTAAACAGCAGCAATGACCACAATTCAATGTTTAATAAACACCTAATAATTAGTAGGAGAGAATAAATACCTAATAATTAGGAGAGAAAAAGCCAACCTGTGCATAGGTACCACATTGAATATAAGTTAAATGCCTAGTCCACATATTTGGTCTCTTTTTGAGTTCCTAATAGTTACAAAAATAAAAGGTAAAAAGCCTGCCCTTTGGACCGCACTTAGAGAGCCCTGGGGCCCCGAGGAGCCGTGGCGTGCAGACCCGGCCGGTGTGAGGCCCTCTCCACAGGCCCCTTGACTCCCCTCCAGCTACCTGCAGACCAGCAGCCTCTTAGCCGGCGACCGCCACCTGACCGAGGAGGAGCGGACGTACTTCTGCCAAGAGATTCTCAACTTCACCAGCCAACACACGGATAGCCCGGGTGAGACTACCTGTTAAAACTTTGTTATGACAGTTTTCAAATATTACCGGAAAGGAAAAGGACTATACAATGTGTAATGTATACAGACCCTCTAGAGTCAACAACGAGCAACGTTTTGCTGTGCGGCAAACATGTATCCATACCTTTCTTTTTACTGTTGTCTTTTTGCTGAACTTCAGAGTAAGCCCAGCCCACGTGTAACACTTCACCCTGAAACGCTGTAGCATGCGTCTTGGAGAGCAAGGGCAGTCCCCCAACCAGGCCAGACCGGCCAGGTTCTAACTTTCTGGTACTCGGTGGCCCGGATGCAGGTCCCCTTAGTTTTAGTAGAGTCTAATCAGGGATCGTGCATTTAATTGTTGTATCTCAGTTTTACCTAGACCAGTTTTCCCCATCTCTTTTTCTCTTTTCCAAGACACCGAAGTTCTTTAACATAGCAGCTGCATTGGGAGAGCATTTCTGTACCGTGTGATGCACGGGTTTGCAGAGTGCAATCCCCCGGCTTTGTGTGCGGTCACAGGCGTGTGCCGCCGTCGCCACAGTCCGCTTTCTGTCTCTGCAGAGACCTGCGCTGGCTGTTCCACAGGAATGGGGTCACACAAGATTTTTTGTTTCACTGCGACTGGCTCTTTTCGTTCAGCATAATGTTTTCAAGATTCATGCATGTTGTTGCGTGTCAGTATTTCATTCTTTTTTCTGGCTGGGCGACATCTCGCTGCGTGACGGGCCGCACTGGGTGCGTTTGTTTGCTGGTGGTGTGACGCTGGCTATGAGACACCGACCTGTTGCAGACGTCCAGCCAGTTGTTTCAGGGGCTGTCCCACCCCCTGGAGTCTGTTCCGTGCTGCTCCCGGGAGCGTGCCACAGGAAGGCTGGTCTGAACGGCTCAGGTTCCTGCTGAACATTTTGGCGAGTGTGTTTTGTGGAGACCGCCGTGTGGTAAGAGTGCTGTAACATTTTGTTGCTTGGGTTTAGTTTGTCAGGAAGAGCACTCACTCGTTTAAAATAGTTCTTGGTCAGCTCTGGTGGCCATAACGAAATGCCACAGACTGGACAGATGTTTAAACGCTCTGCAGGCTGGACGTCTGAGACCGAGGCGCCGGCAGGGTTGGTTCTCACGAGGCCTGGCCTCCTGGCTTGTCCCTACATGGCCAGGGGGGCTTGGGGCTTCAACTTAGGAATTCAGGGGGAATGCGGTTCAGTCCACAGCAGTTACTAACTACTTGAAAGCTGGTGTTTCACAGGCTTTGGCTTCAGGGCGATACAGTCTGTGACCGCTGGTCTGTGCTCACTCACGGGGAGCATTTGGGAGCAGCAGGGTGCTGATTGGTCGGTTGGCTTCGATTCTTTAATGTGCCCGACTGGTCCCTGCGGCGCCGTGTGCCGTATCTGCAGTATGTGACATATGTGAGACTGTGCAGTTATGCCTTCCCTGCCAGCATTCTTCGATATGTCTGTGCGAACGAGATGGTCTGTGATCGTCTGCCGTGTTTTTGTGATTTGATGGCATCAATGTCAGCATGTCCTCTAGCTGATTTGTGTTTAACAAACACGGCTGCCTGGTTTGGCAGCCCTGGGAATTTTCTGGACAAGCCCAGTGCCGGTGGAAAGGAGGTCAGAGGGAGAAGTGGGTTCTTCTCCTTCAGTCACTGTGGGGCCTGGGCTTCACGGCCCCTGGCCCCGGGCTCGGGAGGCGGGGCTCCCCGAACCCCAGACTGCGGCCTGGGCTGGCAAACAGCTGGGCTTGTTCCCAGATACTCGGGGGTGGTTGAGGGTGGGCAGGCACCTTCATTCGGGGATTTCGTTATGTAGGTGGAATTCCTTGAAACAGCTCCAGGAATTGGACTATTTAAAAACGATGGTTTGAGATTGAGGAGTTGACCTGTAGTGGTCCTCAGTGTGTCCAGACAGGACCTAGAAACCCTGATTTCTGCAGGTGTTGTGGTTTCCAGGAGCTATCTGGGCATGTGTTCATGCTCTGCTCTGACAGAGGAACTCCGTGGAGTGTGAAGAGGGTGTGGGGCTGGGTGGTTTTCAGCCTCCCATTTGAGCTTCACTGCTCCTCGCTTCTCACGTTGCGCGTGTTCCGGCCGGCCCAGTGGTGGCCAAGGCCCTGCAGCCTCTGCACCCTCCAGAGGTGTGACGTGGGCAGGAAACACGGTGATGTGTATTCGCAGGTCGCAAAGTCGTGCTCCCTATGCATTCCTTCGCACACCTGCGGGATCTCCGTTTCACCCCCGCCAACGCCGTGGTCCACGTGGGCGGCGTTTTGTCGGTGGAGATAACCGTGTGCAGCCAGATGCCCATCCCCGTCCGCGTGGAGCAGATCACCATCAGCGTGCACTTCAGCGTCGAGAAGAACAGCTACCGGAAGACGGCCGAGTGGCTGACCAAGCACAAGACGTCCAATGGGATCATTAACTTCCCGGCGGAGACCTTGCCTTTCCCCGCGTCCCAGAACAGTCTCCCGGCGCTGGAGCTGTACGAGATGTTCGAGAGAAGCCCCTCCGACAACTCCTTGAACACCACGGGGATCATCTGCAAGAACGTGCACATGCTCCTGAGGAGGCAGGAGAGCGGCGCCACCCTGGACTCGCCCTCGGGGGTGGCTCTGGAGGACGGGGCCCACGTGCTGCAGTGTGGCGACGTGACGCTGGCACCGGGGGCCAACACGATCACGTTCAGGACGCAGGTGTGTGTGGGGGCGGGGGGCCGGCTCGAAGGTGGTCAGCAAGGTCTGCTGTTGTACCCCTGGTTTTGTTTTTGTCCTTAAGAAACATGGTTTTATACTTAACACAGTTACAGTTTAAAGGCAGTTGATAAATTTTGAATGAAGTTCTTAACATAATTACTTGTAGTCTCACTGGATTTAGATTTTTTTGCCTTTCCACGGCATTAAAATGCACCCTCGTTTGCTGAAGTGACACGTCAAAGAAGGTGGCACCGTTTCACGTTAAACCTCGTTTTCCTTTTGCAGTTGCGTGGGGGTCAGAACAGCTGCTCTGACGCGCTCTGACGCACATCTTTCTCCACGCGGTGCGCCCTATGAGTCCACAGCCGGACAGGCGGCTGGTGGGAAGGGCAGCCGTTGTCACGGGTTTTAGTCCAGTCTGAGAACAGGTCTTAGACCTCATGCCGAGTGGCTCCGTTTGGAGGAGAGTGCCACAGATGAAATTGGTTAAACTGAAAATACGTGATTAGAAGCGTGAAGTCAAGTTTAAGCCCCAGTTACTCAGAAAGACCTCAGTCGAGATGCTTAGGGCCCTTTGCAGACGTGTGAGCACAGAGCAGTGGGGTCAGAGGGTAAGAAGGACGAGCGTTTCAGAGATCACGGTGCAGCCTGCCCTTAGGGCTCCCACCTTTATACGAGAGCAGGTGCTGACTTCCCGAATGCTCCATCTGACCCTAGGCCAAGGAGCCCGGCACGTACACGCTGCGGCAGCTGTGTGCCTCGGCGGGCCCCGTGTGCTTCGTCCTCCCGCACCTCTACCCGCTGGCGCAGTACGACGTGTACTCCCAGGAGCCGCAGCTGCACGTGGAGCCGCTGGCTGGTGAGTGGGCCGTGCACAGTGGGGGCGCGGCTGCTCCGGGGGGCACGCGACCCCTTTCCGAAGGAGCCGCACGGAGAAAGGCTTTCTGCACCCTCAGACTTCCAGCACATTGTACACAGGCGTTTTGGGGTGGCATCATGGAAATTTTGTCTGGGAACCAGCTGACTGTGATGGTTCTGTTCATCAAATACTTGCTTTTCTGCAATTGCTAACTTTCAGGTTTAATAAGACGTGCATATCTGAACATGAGAAAAATAAGAGAAAAATTAGCTATCAGTTAATGTCTACTGCAGAGAACTTCTTAAGTAAATATAACTTCCTGCTTAGCGTTTCATTTCAAGGGCTAAATGCTAGATTTAGTTACATTCTGTATCCTGATCAGAGGTCTTTTTCTTTGAAAGCATTAATTGAATTTGGTCCCCTACCTTGACATTTTAGAAATTCAAAGCTGCTATTTTGTTAAGTTCTAAAATTAGAAGAAATTGGCATGAACAAGTGATTTAAAACCGCACATCACTTAACTAAATAGTAATGAGTGGATGTCTTAGTTGTTTTAGGCCAAAACAGTACATTTATTGACTTGTTTCTTTCATTTGGAAAAAAAAACAACAACAAGGAAAGCATTTTTCTATTTAATCTCCCCATACTCTCTATTTTTCTGCTTTTAAACTTCTCCCATTGGCCACAGTAGAGGCCTCCATATGCCAAACACAACAACGGTCTCCCAAGCGATTCTGCAGTCAGAGAACCTTGGGCAGAACTTTGTGGCCGTCAGGGCCTGGGAAGGGCCCGGGAGACCCGCCTCGGCGCTCAGGCCTCCTCCCCGCGGCCCGCACGCCCCCTCCTTCTCCGTGCCTTCCCGTCCCTCGGTCTCATCTGTTTCTCCTTCTCGTGTCTTGTCTCTCGCCTCCCTTCTGCCTTCCCTGGGGTGGGATTCTCAGAAACCGCAGCTCATTTCCATGTAGGAGAAACCAGAAGCTATACCTTTCACTGAGCTGTTTCTAAACCAAAGATCTCGAAGGCCTAACGTGAGACAACCAAAGAAAATTCTGAGTAGCAGTAGCGTGTGCAGTTTCACCCACCGGTCGGTTCTTTACCGCCGTTGCCTGAGTCTCTCTCACTGACTCGCTGGCAGGTGGGGTTGGAGCCCTGCATAGGCATGGCTGTCATGGTGACCCCTGGCTCTCCGAACCGAGGTGTGAGAAGACCCTCCGTGCTTACAGAGTCTCGTGTCTCCAGCAAGGGCTCCTCAGCCCTGCAGTGCGAGTAATGGAGATGAAAAGTGAGGGTGGGGGAAAGAAACAGGGAATTTGAGGAGTATCTGGAGTGAACAGATCTTTTCTGGTGGAAGAAACGATGCTGTTTAACCTCATAGTAGGTTCTCCATTGGTATTTTTGGTTGCAACTGATACTAATTGCCGCCTTTTTCCCTTTAGATAGTCTTTTGGCTGGTATTCCTCAGAAGGTCAAGTTCACTGTCACTACTGGCCACTATACAGTGAAAAACGGGGACAGCCTCCAGCTCAGCAATGTGGAAGCCATGCTCATCCTGTGCCATGCAGAGAACAGAGCAGTGATCTATTCCAACACGAGAGGTACGGCGGCGGCCACCTGGCGAAGGTGGACTCTCAGCATTGCCACGCACCGTGAGCGTGTACGGAGCTGTCAGCCCCTTCGTGCTCCGTTAGTAACAGGCCTGCTCCCACCTACGACGGCTTCATGGCAGCAGCCCGCCTGTGGGCGGACGGGGGCCCTGCTCCTGGATGGGGCCTCCCTTTTGGGGAGGATAGACTGAGGGCCGTGCGTGCGCTCGGCGGCCAGGCAGTGCCTGCCGGGACTTCTGATGCGGCATGGGCTCGTGCTTGATCGTGACGCCTGTGGGCCTTCAGCCCTCCCCAGTCCCCTCATCAGAGAGCAAAAGTAAATCAGCCTTTTTAGGCCCCAGTTGGAAGCCCTAAACACATCCCTCTTAGGCACAAGAGGAAGCCCTCTCTTGCCCTGGCCAATGTGGCTCAGTGGCTAGCGCATTGTCCCATAACTGAAGGGTTATGGGTCTGATTCCCGGTCAGGGCACATGCATGGATTGCGGGTGCGCTCCCTGGTCCAGGGGTGGGGTGTGATCCCCGGTCTGGGTGCAGCCAGTCGGTGCTTCTCTCTCGCATTGATGTTTCTTTCTCTCTGTCTTCCTCTCTCCCTTCATCTCTCTGAAAGCAATGAAAAAATGTCTTTGGGTGAGGATTTAAAACAAAGTCCCATGTCCCCTGCCCCCAGCCACGAGGTATGGAGCGAAGGATCTGCTCCCCTCCTGGGAGGGAGCTGGTCCGGCAGTGTGACAGGGCGGGAGCACGCTGTGCAGGGACACACACAGAACTTGGACAGGCCACACGGGAAGTGTCCCTTTTCTGTGTCCTGGCTAAGTACAGAGACAGTTCTCTGGCCTGTGGCTGACCAGCTCTCATGCAGTGTTCCTCCGCCTTAGGGGGTAGTTCCTGGTTTTCTGCCTTTTTGGTCCCACCTCAATCCACATGCTTTCACGTGCACAGGAGCAGCAGCAGCTGGGCTGGGACCTCACTGCTGGGCCTGTCACCTGCCGGAAGGAAAAGGAGGGAAAGGATCAAGGAAACGGACACAAGGTGTTAGAAGTGACTTTTTCTGTCTTTCCTAGAAAAGGCTTCTGAGGCGTCACTCCGGGTTCAGTCGTCCGACAAGGTCACAAGCATCAGTCTGCCTGCTGCGCCTGCGTACCACGTGATCGAATTTGAACTGGAAGTCCTGTCTTTACCTTCAGCTCCCGCACCTGCAGGGGAGAGCAGCGCGCTGGGGGGGACAGAGGCCCAGAGAAAGCATAAGGACACACCGAAAGCCGGCCACTGCATGGCCACCACGGACCACAAAGTAAGGCGGGGCTGGGACCGCTCAGCCTGTGGCGGTGGCCTCCGTGTGTCCTGCTTGTTCTGAAAGACAGCACTTAAGAGATGGTTCTGTGGCGGTGGCAGATTTCCTCCCTGATACCGGGAGCTCGTGCTGGGGTTAGCCCTTGTGTCTGTGAATCGTACCTTCTTACTAAGGGGCACATCTTGGGGGACACAGACAAACAGGCTCTCACGTTTCCACCCCAACTCAAGAGGGAAGGACCGTGTGTTATAAGAGACAGAGTGTTTGCTTAGGAGAGGTAACTGTGGGCCCGCGGCCCATTTGTCCTGGTGACTAGACCGGAGGGACTTCTGTGTCGGGTGTGCTTCAGTTTCTGTCCACTGAAACGTCCCATCAGACTCAGCGAGGAGCAAGCTCTGCTCCGGTGCTGGTGTTTATTGACAGCTGCTTGAGAGACCTGTGGCTTTGTTCCCAGGTCTGCAGTCCGTGAGCTCACAGAGTGTGTCACTAGCACTGTGCCCGTCCCACTTGTGTCCGTGTCTTGTAACACAGAGAGCGGTTCTGAGGGCTTCCGACCAGCCTGGGTATAGAAGTTCATTCTTGGGGCTCCGTGGGACTCTGCATTTGCATGCTTTTGGAAGGTGCTGCCCGGGGGTCTGGCTTCTAGTCAGCCCCAATCTAGGTAGGGAGAGACTGCTCTACAGGACACTGACGGTTCTCAGCACCAGGGGCCAGGAGCTGTCCGGAACCAAGCAGGCAGCCGCAGGAGCACAGACGTCAGAGAGACCACCAGGAGCCGCGACGGAGTCGAGCAACAGCCTCGCTTCCTGCACAGGCCGCCCCTTCAGGACGGGAGAGGCGGCGGTTGCACTGCCGCACAGAAACCAGCAGAGCGTCCAGCGTGGTGAAGAGACAGCAGGCATGTGTTCCAAGTGAGAGAACAAGAGAAAGCCTCAGGGAAAAACACCTCGATGTCAGGAAGGCAAGTAATTTACCTGCTAAAGAGTTAGAACTGATGTTTAGAAAGACACTCTGAAGTGGACAGAACAGATGAAATGAACACAGTAAGACCTTCAACAAAGGGGTGGGAAATATAAGAAAATACCAAGTGGCATTAGCAGAGCTGAGACACCCACTGGAGAGGGTCAGCGGCGGACCACATGGAGCAGGAGGAAGGACCCCGACAACTTCCGGACAAGGCGGTGGGACTCATCCACCCGGAGCAACAGAAAGAAGGGAAGAGACTGAAGACCGCTTAAGGGACTTACGGGCCAACACCAATCAGACTAACATTTGCATTATGAGGCCCCCAGGAGGAGGAGAGAGAGAAAGGGGTGGGAATCTGATTTGGAGAAATAATGGCTGAAAAGTTCCCTAGCCTGGAAAACAGACATCCAGATCCAGGAAGTCCAAAGCGTCCCGTCAAGGCACATTCTAGTTAAAACGTCAGAAGTTAACGACAAGGGGAGGTGTTAAAAACAGCCAGAGAAAATCAACCTGTTATGTGCAGGGAACCCCCAGCAGACTGTCAGATTTTTTCATCAGAAACTTTGCAGGCCAGAGGGAGTGTCATACATCCAAAGGGCTGAAAGAAATCAAACGTCCAATTATAATACTTTGCCTGACAAACTTATCTATTATTCAGACTTGAAGGAGAGACAGAAAAGTTTTACAAGCAAAAGCTGAAAGTTTTTTACCACTACACCTGCCTTGCAAGATACATTAAATTCAGTGGACTTAAGATGAGAAGAGTAGGTGCTAATTACTAACAACATGTGAGAGAAAAAATCTCACCAGGAAGGTAGGCATATAGAAAAGGTGGTTGGATAATCAATTAGGAAGCTACTCTGAAAGTTAAAAGACAAAAGTAGTAAAAATAACGATTACAGTAATCAAGGAATACACAGGATAAAAAAATGTAAAATTTGACATAAAAGTATGAAATGTGGTGGAGCAGACAGTAAAAATGTTGAGTTTTAGAATGTAGTCAAACTTAATTATCAACTTAAAATAGGCTGTTACCTGTAAACACAAAGCAAACACTTACAGTAAATATGCAAAAGGTAAAGAGAAAGGAACCTAAGGATACCAGTAAAGAAAGCCATCAAGCCACAAAGGAAGGGAGAAGAAAGAAAGAGAGAGAGAGAGAGAAAAGAAAGGAAAAGAGAGGGACTGAAAAAACAGAAACAAAACAGCTTGAAAACTACAAAATAGCAATAAGAACATACCTATCAGGAATTACTTTGAATGCAAATTGACTAAATTCTCTAAGCAAAAGACAAAGTGGCTGCATGGATAAAACCAAGACCATCCATATGCTGCCTACAACAGACTCGGTTTGTTTTTAAAAAAATTTTTTTTAAACATTATTGATTATGCTGTTACAGTTGTCCCAGTTTTTCCCCCTTTGACCTCCTTCACCCAGCACCCCCACTCCCTCAGGCAGTCCCCACACCACTGTTCGTGCCTGTGGGTCATGTGTGTAAGTGCTTTGGCCGCTCCGTTTCCTGTGCTGTACTTTATACCCCCGTGGCTGTTAACAGACTCACTCCAGGTGTAAGGACACACACAGACGGAAAGTGAGGGATGGAAGGGCAGTTCCCTGCAAACGGAAACGAGGAGAAGCTGGAGTAGTTCTACATATTTCAGATGAACAGACTGTAAAACAAAGACTGTAATAAGAATCAAAGATGGGCATTACATAATGATAAAAGGGATATGTACAACAAGAAGATACAACATTTGTAAACATTTATGCACCCAACATAGGAATAACTAAATATATAAAGCAGGTATTAACAGACCTAAAGGGAGAAATAGACAGCCATACAGGTATAGCAGGGAACGTCAGTACCCCACTTACATCAATAGACAGGCCATTCAGACAGAAAATCAACGAGGAAACACGGCTCTTAAACATGGCAGAGCAGATCAGCTTAACACGCATATCCAGAATATTCCATCCAAAAGCAAAGGAATACGTGTTCTTGTCAATTGTACACAGAATATTTCCAAGATCACGTTAGGCCACAAGTCTTAATAAATGTAAGAGTATTAAAGTCATATCAGGCATCTTTTTTTTTTAGCCACAGTGGTATGAAACTAGAAATTAAGTGCATGAAGAAAACTGGAAAATTCACAAATATGTGCGGATTAAACAACATGCTAACGAACAACCAGTAGGTTAAAAAAGAAATCAAAAAAGAAACCAAAAAAATACCTTGAGACAAATGAGAATGGAAATGCAGCATACCAAAACTTACGGGCTATAGCATAAGCAGTTCCAAGAGGGAAGTTCAGAGTGGTAGCTGCCTACCTTAAGGAACAAGGAAAGTCTCAGATAAACAACCTACTTCTATGCCTCACGGAACCAGGAAAAGAAGAACAAACGAAGCCCAGAGTTAGTAGAAGGAAGGAATTAACAAAGATGAGAGCAGAAATAAATGAGAGAGACTAAAAAGACCATAGCAAACATGAATGCAATTAAGAGTGAGTTGGTTCTTTGAAAAGATAAAATTGATAAACCTTTAGTTAGATTCACCAAGAAAAAAAGAGAAGACTCAATAAAACCGGAAATGAAAGAGGAAATGTTACAACTGATACCACAGAAATACAAAGGATCGTAAGAGACTACGGTGAATAATTACATGCCAACAAGTTTGACAACCTAGAAGGAAATAGATAAATTCCTAGAAATATACAACCCTCCAAGACTGAATCATACGCAATAGAAAATCTGAACAGACTGATTACTGGTAAGGGGATTGAATCCGTAATCAAAAACCTCCCACCAAAAGTTCAGGACCGGATGGCATCACTAGCGAATTCTACCACATATCCAAAGAAGAATTAATGCCAGTCCTTCCCAAACTATTTCAAAAAATGGAAGAGGAGGAAATACTTCCAAACTCATTTTAGGAGGCCAGCATTACCGTGATAGATGCCAAAACCAGAAAAAGGATGCCCTAGGAAAAAAAATTACAGGCTGATATTCCTGCTGCACGTAGGTGCAAAACTCCTACAGACTGTTAGCAAAGCAGACTCAACAATCACGCACCATGACCAAGAGGGATTTGTTCCAGGGGTGCACAGTGGGTTCCGATCTGCAAGTCAGTCACTGTGACTCACAACATTATCAAAACGAGTGACCAAATTATATCTCAATAGATGCAGAAAAAGCACTTGACAAAATTTAGCGTCCATTTATGATAAGAACTCTCAACAACATGGGTGTGGAAGGAGAGGACCTCAGCATAAGAAGGACCAGGTACGCCAGGCCCACAGCTCACATCATACCCAGCGGTGAAAAGCTGAAGGCTTCTTCTCGAAGATCAGGAGGAAGACAAGGATGCCCACGTCATCACTCTTTGTGAACATGGTATCGGATGTCTTAGCCAGAGTGATTAATCAAGAAAAGCTAAATGCGTATAAATTCGAAAGGGAGAAAGGAGACCGTAACTATTTGCAGATGACATGATCTTACGTATAGAAAGCCCTAAAGACTCCATCGGAGAACCGCTGGAACTAATGAATGAATTCAGTGAAGTCGCAGGATACGAGTTCAGTGCACAAAACTGTTGCATTTCTATGTACTAATAATGAACTGTGAGAAAGAGAAATTAATAAAACAATACCATTTACAGTTGCACCCAAAAGAATAAGGAGGAGAAAGACCTTTATAATTGAAGACTAGAAGGAAATAATAAAAGAAAATGAAGAAGACACAAATAAATGGAAGATAGTCCATGCTGATGGAATAGGAGATTTAATGTTGTGAAAATGCCCATATTACCCAAAGCATTATACAGATTCAGTGCAGTCCCTATCAAATTCCAGTGGCATTTCTTAGAGAAATAGAACAATCCTAAAACTTGTGTGGAACCACAAACGACCCTGAATAACCAAAGCAAATCTGAGAAAGAACAGAGCTGGAGGTATCGTGCTGCCTGATTTCCAGCCACATTACAAACTGGTGGTCATTAGAACAGCATGGTGTGGGCATGAACACAGACACGTAGGTTATTGGTTAAGGAATAGGAAGCCCAGAAGTAAATCCATACTTACGTGGTTGATTAATTTATGTTAAAGCATCCAAGAATATACAATGGGAAAGGACATCTCTTGAATGAGTGGTGTTGGGAAAACCTGGACAGTCACACGCAAAGAAACAAAACTGGACCACCACCTTACAACTTAGACAAAAAATAACTCAAAATGGATTAAAGATTTGAATGTAAACCTGAAACCATAAAACTCCTAGGAGAAAACATAGGCAGTAAGCTCCTTGACATAGACCTTAGTGATGATGCTTTAAATCTGATGCCAAAAGCAAAAGCAACAAAACTAAAAATAAACAAGTGGGACTGCATCAAACTAAAAAGCTTCTGTGCACGAAGGAAACCATCAGCAAAATGAATAAACAGCCCTTTGAGTGAGGAAGATATTTACAAACGGTACATCTGATAAGAGGCTAAGATCCAAAATATGTAATGAACTCATAGAAATTAATGGCAAAAACAAAACAAAACAAACCCCCCCAAATAATCCAATTAAAGAAGAGGCAGAAGAGCTGAATAGATATTTTCCCGAAGAAGACATACAGACAGCTGACTGACACATGAAAAGATGCTCAGCATCACTCATCACCAGGGAAATGCAATCAAAACACTGCAATCACAGTGAGGTCCCATCTAACACCTGTCAGAACGGCTGGTACCAAAAAGGCAAAAATAACAAGTGTTGACGGGGATGTGGAGAACAGGGAACACGCGTGCACCACAGGTGGCATTGTAAATTGGCACAGCCACCATGGAAAACAGTATGGAGTTCTCGAGGAATTAAAACTAGAGCTGTACGATCTAACAGTCCCACTTCCGGACGCTTATCTAAAGAAAACAGAAACACTAATTTAAAGAGATGTGTGCACCGCCACGTTCATTGCAGCGTTATGTACAGCAGCCGAGATACGGAAGTAACGTAAGTGTCCGCCTGCGGGTGGGTGGGCAGAGGAGTGATGTGCAGACACGCGCACGCAGGCACGCACAGTGGAATGTCGTTCAGCCCTAGAAAGGGGTTGAAACCCCGCTATTTGAACAACATGGATGGACCTTGATGGTATTAGGCTAAGGGAAATGAGTCAGAGAGAGAAAGACAAATACTACATCATCTCTTAAATGTGAAATCAAAAACGCGAGAAAACTAGCCTCATAGATGCAGAGAAGATTGGTGGTTGCTGGCGGGATAAATGGGTGAACTGGTTTTTGCTTTTTGTTTTAGTTTAAATGACTAATTTTTTTAAATGTGTGTCCAAAAGGCTAAGAAACGCTGTCATTTCAGAGATTGTGGCATAGAATATCAGACCAGTCAGTGCCTACGGAATAATGTTTTCATTTTTCAGTCCTTGAAATTTCCCCCCTCACTTGATTTCGAGTTCAGGAGACAAAGGTGATACTTATTTCAGTAGGCTCATGGGATCCTGCTGAATGACAGAGTTTTCCGTACTCAGTGTGTTTGTTTGCATAAATTGAAGCTTGAGGCCTGGTCTCTGCCCTTCTATGAACTGATAACTCGGTCCACACTGTGCCCCCAAGGTGACTGGCTTTCAGCTAGGCATTCAGCAGCATGTGGATTAAACGTTTGGATCATTCGCTCACTTTTGCTCAGGTAATGACTGACTGGTGTCCTCTGGACGTAGTGATTAAACGCACTCTGTCAGAACCCCCTGTGCCGTAGAATGACGTTTGGCATGGCGGCCATGTGTGCGAGGCCAGTGAGGTGGGTTTGTGCTGCCCCCTGCGGCCTCTGCTCTGCAGCCACCGGGACCATTCTGGCGACTTCTGGACCTTCTGCCAGTTCCACACACATCCATTTTTCCCGACTGTCTGTGCGGCTCTGTGTCTCTCCCGTGTCTGTGCGCATGTTTGGTGGGGTTTTCTTCTGAACACGGAATCAGAAAGCCGTCGGGTGTGCGGGACACTGGCCGCACCGCAGGTGCCGATGGACGGTGGTGGTGGCTGAGCTGCTGGCGAGTAGTCTGAATGGCGTCCTCCTGTTTCCCCCCAGGTGTCCATCGAGTGCCCGTGGTCCATCTACTCCACCGTCATCGCGCTGACCTTCAGCATGCCCTTCAGGACCACGCATGCCCTGCTGTCGTCGGGGACGCGGTAAGGGAGGCCCTGCTCCTGTCCCGGGCTCTTTGACGCAGAGCCCCTTGCTGTTCAGAGCTTGACCTTGGTGACCTTGAGCATGTTGCCTTACATGACCATGATGCCGTTGTCCCCTGCAGCACCCAGTCCGTGCTCAGGTCTCCCAGCTGCCTCAGCAGTGACTCTGCACCATTGCTCTGTGGGATGCGGGCCCCATGTGATTACCCCATGTGATTACCCCATGTGATTACCCCATGTGATTACCCCATGTGATCATCGGATGCCCTTTTCTCCCTCCCGCCCTTGTTCTTCAAGCCCGCGGCCCACTGACAGCTGTGGGTCAGCTGTCCCCTAGGAGGTCCCCCGTTCTGCGTGTGCCCGGGCTGTCCTCTCGGGTCAGTTAAACTAGTCCCCCCGTGAACCTCGGGGTACCTCTGGAGCAGGCCTTTCCAACCGCAGCACTGCTGACGCTGTGGGTCAGGTGGCCCTGTGCTGTGGGCGCTGCCCTGCGCATGGTAGGGTGTTAGCAGCTCCCCCGCTTCGCGCCGGCGGCACTTCCCATCCTGCCCGCCCTCAGTGTGACATTGCCCAACGTGCCCTGGCGCGGGCAGGGGGGATGGCTGCCAGTGAGAGCCACTGCCCTGGAGGCTCGACGAGGCTCGGAGCCGGCCTCTGGAGAGGCCGGGGTCCCGGAGGGGCGGCCCCGTGCTCCGTGTGTCCCCGCGTCCAGAGATGCGGGGTCCAGTGGCCCGGAGGTGGCGGTGCTCTCGTCGACACTGGGCCCGGGCGAGCCTGGCCCCTCCCTGTGACATCCCCTTCTGCTTCACCCACGGGTCATTCGGGCAATTTGGAAACAAATGTCAGCACCCTATTTAGCGTGGGACATTATTCCAGCAGCAGTTTCCCTTTAAATCGCAGTGAGGGAACTGTCAATACTAATGGTTAAAAACATCGGCAGGTGATGAACAGAGCCCGAGTTGCTGTAAGATCGGCTTCCGCAGCCCCTCACCTGCGGCGAGCCTGTGCCCGGTCCCAGAGAGAAAGCCTCCCCGTGGCCGCTGCTCGTGCCCGCGCCACTCGTCGCGGCCGGCGGCTCCTCGTTCGGAGGTTCGGAGGCCTCGGTCACAGGCTGTGTCAGACGCCACCGTGTCAGCATCAGAGCGCCCCGATCCCCTTTTCCTCAGAACCGGCTCCTCAGCAAGACTGGTGCTCGCCGGCTCATCCCCTGTGAAACAGAAAGTAGGAGTGTGCAGCAGCTGGGTCTTAGTTGTTTTACCGTGTGACTTTCCCGATGCCCCGGAGAGGTTCTTCTTAACAAAGCCAAAATATATTCCATGACGTTCTTAATCGTCAAAGTCATATTTCTTGTTTCTCCGCTTTAGGAAATACATTCAAGTTTGTGTCCAGAATTTGTCCGACCTTGACTTCCGCCTGTCAGACAGCGCCCTGGCGGACGTCGGGGGCAGCGCCGACCTGCAGCTGCGGCCGCTGAACCTGGAATCCCAGCAGGTAACCACCTTCTAGAACTGAGCGTGTGCTCAGCAGAACACAGGAGCGTGGGTGCGTGGTGGCCGAGCCACCCGTGGTGTTGACGCTGTGCTGCAGGGAATGCGGGTGTGGCCGCCCTTCCGGAGGGAGAAGGGCGCGCACGGGGCACTGCTTGGAGGAGCAGCTCTGGGCGGCGGCGTGTGTGTCCGCCCCCCACTCCGTGGGCTGGGCGGCGCAGGGAGAGGTCAGGAAATGGAGTGATGTTATGTCATCAGAAGATTGCACCCCTACACTCGTCCCGCCCTGCACACAGATTTATGTAGCCACAAGCTCATTCTCAGTCTCCCGTGGGCGGGGAGTGGTGGCCGTGCCGTCCCGCCTGTCACCAGATGCCTGCCCGGGCCCCGGGGAGAGGTCGGCGGTGTCGGTGTCAAGGCGTCATCTCCGTGTTCACGCCGCCTGGCGGCATCCTGACCTTGCTTTTCCTGTTTGCACGTCACATGTGTTTTCAGACAGTAAACGCTGAGTGTTTAGAAGAGCAAGAGCTTTCGTAAGGGATGTCTCATCTTCAGCGTTCTCACAGGATTTTCCCAGAACACATTTGGCACGTTTCAGATCCCACCCCTGTCTGGGGCTGTGCTGCAGGGGTGGATGCTGACACACGCTGCGCCGGTTCCTCGCATAACTCCGTGTTCCAGACGAAGTGATTGGCGTGGGTGTAGCTGTCCTTTCTAGTTGACTGATGCGTTTCCCATTTTGGAAATGTATGGGATACTCTATACTTGTAAACGTCCTTTAAGCTTTTTAATCTCCCATGCTGTGAGGCACACGAAACCTTAAAAAGGTAAAGCTTGTTTTACCAACCTTGTGCAGACTGCTCCAGGGGCAAGGGCAGGCAGGAGGGGCGGGGCCCCGGCGGGTGCAGGGCATAGGGCAGCACATCTGTCAGGGCTGTCAGGCCAGGGCCCTGTGGGGTCGCTGCTTCTCCATCCCACCCGCCTCCTGTCGGAGGGAGCGCCCCTCTGCCCGGGTGGGGCTCGGCCCCGTGCGGTGACGGCCGGCTCTCTTGCAGCGCATCTGCAGCCGGCAGTCGGTGTTCTTCGTCTGGGAGCTGGCGTGGACGCGAGAGCCGCCCCCTCCGCTGCACGCCCGGTTCTCCGTGGGATTCCGCCCCGCCTCTCAGGAACGGCTGACTGTCTCCTTAAAGCCCTATACTTACGAATTCCAAGTGGAAAACTTCTTTGTATGTATTGTTTTATTTTGGGGGTGGGGAATGCAGGGTGGGGAAGTAAAAGGCGACCTCATGTTCTTTATAATCTAAAAAATCGGACAACATCTTTCAAAATAATGAAGCAACAGATCAAGGAAAATAGTTAACAGTTGGAGTAGTTGAATCGCTGACTGATGGTATTTGGACCCAGGTCCTTTTCAGGGGACATGTTCATGCCCATGTGCTATTTCTGGCAGCTCTAAGATGAGTGTTCATAACCATAAAGACCAACGACTTCCTGCCCTCGCCAGGTGGCTCAGTTGGTTGGAGCATTGTCCTATACACCAAAGGATTGGGGTTTGATTCCCAGTCAGGCCACATGCCTGAGTTGTGGGTTCCATCCCTGGTCAGAGCATATATGGAGGGCAGCTGATTGACGTTTCTTTCTCACATCTCTCTCTCTCTCTCTGTCTGTCTGTCTCTCTCTTTCTCTCTCTCTCTCTCTCTCCCCAGCCTCCTCTCTTTTTCTGAAATTGGCAAACATATCCTCAGGTGAGGATTAAAAAAAAATGTTTTTTAAACAAAAAGACCAAAGACCTCTGATTGCATCTCCCTTCTCTTCCTTAGCTGACATAGTAATGTTCTGGAACTATTTCTCAGAGTCCTTTCAGCTTGATCCTTAACTGTTATGTGGGGGTGGGGGGGGGTGAGGGTTGAGTTATAAAGACATGTATCTGGTTTTCTAAAAGAAAAAAATACTATAGAAGTTCACTTAATATTGGGAAGGTTTCCTTATAATCTGTGTGTGGAGCCGAAAGAAGCCTTGAGCTAGGTGAGTGGGTAGCTCCTTTCTGTTTCTTCAGTGAGATTGTTGGGTTTCGTGTTAGGGAAATGAAGTGAAAATACAGGTGGCCCTGAACAACTTGGGGGAGGTAGGGGCACCCACTCCCATGCAGTCAAAAAGTTGTATCAAAATACAACTTTTGATTCCCCCAAAACTTAACTATCAGTAGCCCACTGTTGACTGCCTTACTGACAACATACACAGACTATTAACACAAATTTTGTATGTTATGTGTGTGTTATACAATATATTGTACTCTTCTGATAAAATAAGCTAGAGAATTGTTATTAAGAAAATCATAAAGAAGAGGAAATACATTTACAGTGTTTATGGGAAAGAAAATCCGTGTGTAAGTGGATCTGCATAGTTCAAACCTGTATTTTTTAAGGGTCAGCGATCCACAACCTTGTGGTGTTTCCTTTTCTCCTCTTTACTACTGAAATGGTCAAACAGCGCTTTGTTTGAGAGGTGTTTGTGTTGACCCATCTTTCCAGTACCTCCCTTCAACCAAAAGACTATTTGTTTCGACCCTTCTGTTTTATTTCACTGTCCGTATCAGCTTTAGTGTTGAACGTGACCGTGAGCCTGGTTACCTTTTTGCAGTGTGGTGCAAACAGGCACCCTTTGGATGCGTTAATAGCGACCGAACATCACATGCTCACATGGTCATCTCTGCAGAAATTCATCTGCTTTGCTTGCTGCAGATGATTATTGGCTAGGTAGCTGTTTTCCCTGGTACTTCGTCTTTTTCGCTCCCTCCTCTGATGCAGAGTATGGAGAAATCTTCCTTTAGAGCTGTACAGGCTGAGTCAAAGGCCAGAGAAAACTGTCTGGTGGGTTGTTCTTTCTAAGGCATATTCTGAGGACCCAATATGTGGATACCACTTTTTAAAAAAGCCCTGTTGGGACATAACCGATACACCATGAAGTTCACCCATCGAAAGGGCACAGTGTGATTATGGTGGTAGGTTGACTCTGGTGCAGCCATTACCGTGATCCTGCTCTAGAACACTTTGGTCACCCTAAAAAGAAGCCGTGTGCCCCATTAACAGCCCTCCCCATTCTGTCCCCCATCGGCTGCAGGCGGTCACCACCTCGATCGAGGCAGCTCTGCCTGGGCTTGCCTGCTCTGAGCAGTTCATACATGTAGGGTGATCCACTGTGTGCGGTCTTTCTGTGCCTGACTTTCTCCACTTGGAGTGAGGTTTCCAGCGTCTGCTTGCCGTGGAGCAGGACCAGAACTTGGTTCCCTTCAGTGGCTGAACAGTACTCCATCGTGCAGACAGGCCGGCCACGTTTTGTTTTTCAGTTACCAGTGGCCAGATAGCTGGGCTGTGTCCACTTTGGGGAGACTGTGAGTGACCATGCCTTGAAAACCCTTGTGTGAGTTTTTCTGCACCAAACATGTTCAGTTTTCTTGGGTAAATACCTAGGTGGAGTTGTGGGGTCATCGGGTAACTCTGTTCTTTTTTTTTTAGTTTTGCTAAACTGTTCTTCAGGGACATCACTTTGCACTGCCACCAGCAACGTCTGAGGGTTCCCCTTCCCACCTCCTCACTGGCACTGGTGGCGGTTGTCCTTTTTTACCGTGACCCTCCCGGGGGCGTGAAGTGGTGTCTCGTGCTTTTGACCTGCGGTTCCCTGCCGGCTGCTGGCGTTGAGCGTCCTTCCTGTGCCTCTCGGCCACTTGAATATGCTCTTCGGAGAGATGTCTGTTCAGGCCCTTTGCCCATTTTTTTATAAGGTTGTCTTTTTATCGCTGAGTTGTAAGAGCTCTGTACGTATTCTAGATATCAGCCCCTTATTAGAGATGGGATTTGCAAATATTTTCTTCCACTCTGTGGGTTGTATGTTCACTTTCTTGATGGTCTCCTGGAAGACAAAGTTTTAATTCTGATGAAGTCCAACGAACTGAGCTCTCTTATTTCTTGTGCTTTTGGTGTAGGGTCTAAGAAATCGTTGCTTATCCCAAGGTCAAAATGATTTCCTTCGAGTTCTCTTCTAAGAGTTTGTAGTTTTAGCTCTCACATGGAGGCTGGCGATCCACTTTGAGGTAACTTTTGTGTGCGGTGACAGACAGGGGTCCAAATTCCTTCTCTCCGTGTGGTTAATCAGGTGTCCCTACACCGTTCGTTGAGAACACTGTTCTTTCCCCATTGGATGGTCTTGGCACCCTTGTTGATAATCAGTTGGCCATAAATGTTAGAAATAAACTCTTACCTATTTAGGAATAAGCTCTAGCACTGTCCCCAAAGCCTCAGCAGCCGCTGTCAGGTGTGGGAGGCACCTCACTGCTAACCGAGGGCCCCGTGCTTCCCCTCGGCTGCTGTCCTCCATCCCTCGTGCAGCCAGAGAGGTGGTGACCAGGTGCTCCCAAGCGCGGCTGGGAGCACACTCACCTGTGTCACCCTGTAACTGCGCTTCCTTCCAGGCTCCGGGCGAAATTCGCCGAGCTCAGCAGCAGTCCAGACTGTGTGTTCCACCCGGGAGCAGGGGGCTCCTCGGGCAGCTCTGCAGGGGCGCCGTCCCTCTCTGTGCAGCGTTCCTTTGGGTGTCGGCCACTGCCGTGCCCCCAGGACAGACGGACCTCTCACGGCCTGCCCAAGGGCCTCTGTCCCTTTGCACCTGCACGTGCGGGCGTCTCTTGTGTCCAGTCAGAGCGCCCTCCGATCAGTAGAAGCCTGCCCCGTCCCCAGAGGGCCGTGACGGGTGTCGGGCGGGCAGGTCACTGCTTGAGGCCCATCGGGGTTACTGTGCAGCCTCGTTGGCTCCCAGGAAAATGGGGTGCCTCGGCAGCAGCCTTTCTAAACTTCTGAAGTCTTTTTCCTTTGAACATCTTACAATACCAACAGAACGCTTGAAATCAAATTATACTGCAATTACTTTATGTGCCGCTATGTAAATTAACAGTAAGTGGAGCACCGGCCGCTGGGTGGTGAGCTGTGGCTCCGCAGCAGAGCGCAGGGAGATGGGAGCAGAGAAGTGTGTCAGGGCCTGGAGGAGGAGCTCCGCACTCCCTTCTGCGGGTCTGTGGCTGGAGGGCTTGGAGGGTCCTGGGCGGGGCTGGATCAGTCTGTTCCCACCCAAAGAGCGTAATCAGTGTATGTGTGCTAGGAGATGGAAAAGCTTGAAAATCCTTGATTCAGGGTGGGAGGGGCCGTGTCTGTTTAGGGTCTCTGCCGGCCACTGGGCCAAACAGCATGGAAGGGGAGGCAGCGGTGCCATGGAGTATCTGAGCTGCACTCTCGACAGTATTGTAGAAGGAAGGAGGCTTACCTTCACCAGCGGCAGCGGCAGGTGTGGCAGGTGGGCGTTAGCCCCCGTGCAGGCTTTGGGTCTCATCCTGGGCGGCAGGCAGGTGTGGGGCGGGTGTGAGTAGGCACGAATATCAGGTAAGCGTGCCGTGGAGAAGGAAGCATTGAAGAGGAAGTTGATTCTGTCTTGATACTGGATGACCCCTAAATACTAATTTTGCCAGTCGTGATAACGGCATTGCGTTTTGGTAAGAAAGCAGCCATGTTTTTAGTTGCGCATACTGAAGTGCACAGGGGTGGAATGACAGGCTGTCTGGAATCTGCCTAGGAACACGCCAGGTGAGAGCGTCAGTGTAGAAGGGTAGGCGAGGACGCACGTGAGTGGCGCGGTGGTGAACTGGAGTCGGGGGCCCGGCACACGGAGAGCGCTGTGCTGCCGCCGCGCGTGCCCCGAAACGCTCAGTGCTCGCTGAAGCAGGGCCGCCCGGATGCTGTGACGTGCAGAGGAGGCGCACGGCTGCTCTGCGGCCACGGGCCCGGCGGCTGAGCAGACGTCCCCTCCGCCCACTGCCGAGCCCGTGGGCAGCACCCGGCCTGCCACAGAGCCCGCGCTTCCAGGTCTGTCTTCAGTGGGGTGCATCTCCTGTGTCCTGTTCTCCCCCGTTCCTGCCAGACGCTGTACAACGTGAGAGCTGAGATTCTGCCCCCTGCGGGGATGGAGCTCTGCAGGACAGGCGCGCTGTGCGCCCTGGAGGTGGCCATCACGCGCCTCTCGGACCTCCTGGAGGTGGACAGGGACGAAGCGCTGACAGAGTCCGACGAGCATTTTTCCACCAAGCTCATGTACGAAGGTAGGTCTGGGGCCTCGTTTGCCCCGGCCGTTGCGCCAGCCCAGTGCTCCAGGTGACTGTGCCCGCACTCTCATACAGTGCAGCGTTCTCGGTCCGAAGCGAGAACGCTCTCGGATTAAAAGGTCTCGTTGAATGTTTCATTCTGCAACGTGGTCCTCGGCTCACAGGAAGTCGGACTTGGTGGTTACGGAGTCGTTCTTGTAACAGGTGTTATCACGCAGCTGTTGGGCTCAGGGCTGAGCCCGGCGACGCGTGGGGCTGCCCTTCCCATTCCACTGCGATTCAGGGTCTCCGTGACCCCTGAAGCAAGGTCCCAGCTCCACTTAGCCGGTCAGCTGCCCTCCAGTCATGGCTCCTGCCCGTTCCCTCCCATCTCCTTTCATCCCCTTTCACACTCCCATCCCCGCTGTGACCCCCACAGTGACCCCGACGCGCCCAGGCCCCTCGTTGCTGATGGCTCCGACACCCCTTGGCAGCCCCCCTCCTCGGGGCCTGGCTCCTTCAGCAGCAGGTCTCAGTTTGGGGGGTCAAGACCCCGTATTCTCTGAGGAACGATTGAGGTGTGGGGGGGAAGGTAGAGAAGCCAAGCATTTACTTACTTAAAGATAACAGCCCTGTTTTCCAAAACCACCACAAAAAGTAGTGAGGAGAAGGACGCTAACTTGAGCTTTCCTGCCTGCTGCATTCGGTGACGTGACAGCATCGGTCACGGACACGAAGAAGCTCCAGTAGTTGGAAACGGGAGGGGTATTTTAACAGCCTCCCTGTAACTAGAGGGTCTTCTTTGATGCCACACCAGAGCTTGACAAGGGGCAGTTTTTACAGGCGAGACACCGCGCAGAATCAGCGCTCGCGTGTGCGGCCCTTTCGTGCCGGGCTTCACGGAGCCCTTTTGCCTGCCCTGCGTCGCGAGAGGCTTCGCCGTCCGTGCGCCGGTCCCGCGGGCACCGGAGTCGTGCAGGTCCTCTCCGTGCTGGTGTCTGTCCTCACCCACTGTCACAGACGCACCTTGTTTCAGACTCACACTGAATTCATCAGGATGGTCTGATTACAGGGACACAGTCAAGTTCACAACGGCAAGTGCCAATTTTCCAAAGTTCTCATTTTTGATGAGAGTTTCAGATCTCAGAGTTGTGTCCTTGGCCACTTCTTTGAAGTCCCAGGCTCATTTTTCAAGAAAACGTCTGCAAAAACCCCAGACTGAGTAGCCACAGCAGGCGAGCTCGTGGCCAGCTCGGCAGTCCAGCGCCCTGCACTGTGCAGACACCTGCCTGGACGGCGGGGCCGGGGAGGCGGGGGATGGTGCACGGGCCTCTCTCTGCCCTCTGCAACTTCTTCTGAGTCTGTCCTCATTTCCCAAAGTAGAAGAAGATGTGTACTTAAACCGGAGTGTGAAAATGGCTTTGGTCCCCCCCGAGGACCCCACCGTGGGAACTGCTGCTCCAGCGTGTCCCTCCTCAATGCTGTCTGCCCCTTGCACCCCTGTGTGTGTCCGTCACCACTGCTCCTGAGCGGTTTGCCCGCCTGCAGGAAACCCACCTCTGCAGCCCCTTCTGTGCTGCTTGTGGAACTTGTGGCCACGTGCTCCTGGGCTCTTGCCTTGTGTCCCCATGCCCCGGTCACGGCGACCTCTCTGCGAGGTCTTCTGCTTCTTGAGGACAAGGGTGCTGTCCTGTGTACTTTGGAGTGACCGATCAGTTAGGTGTTTGAATTGCACTGGATCACACACAGTTGTGTTATAATTAGTGTTACTAATAACACTTGCTGTGTGTTTAGACTCTGAGTGGCAGCTGGGACTCAGACCCTCCGCTCTCATGTCACCACTCAGAAGATGCCATCACTTAGAAGATGCCACCACTCACAAGATGCGCCCCCCGTCCTGCTCCCATTCTTCACACAGCAGCCAGGCAGCCATGCGTGGGAAGAATCAGACACATAGGTTGCCAGGGGACTTCAGCCAGAATTGAATCCTTGACCGTTTATTGATGAGCAGAGTGATTTCCCCGGGCATCGCCATGTGTCCTGGCCACTCCACCATCTGTGCCTTACTGGAACATGTGGTCACAAGATGTGGAGACAGAGGCCTGTGCCCCAGTTTGGGGTTTTGTACTGAGTGTGAGACTGTTGATGCTTTGGTCTGAATGTGCATGCCCTTTCCCGGGGTAACAGAGCGTCTCCCTCTTGGTTTCAGTGGTCGACAACAGTAGCAACTGGGCGGTGTGTGGGAAAAGTTCCGGAGTCATCTCCATGCCTGTGGTCCCTCAGGCCACGCACAGAGTCCACATGGAGGTGATGCCCCTGTTCGCGGGTTACCTGCCCCTTCCCGACGTCAGGCTGTTTAAGTACCTCCCGCATCACTCTGCACACTCCTCGCAGCTGGATGCTGGTAAGGACTCCGTGGTGGGGGGAGCAGGCCTGCTGCTCACGGCACGTTCCCCGAGTCAGGGCTGCAAGCCGTAGGCATCTGCTCCGCGGCTCCATCCTTTGAGGGCCCGTGTGCTAGGTTCCCTGGGAGGAGTTGCCTCATCTACCTGCTGCTGTACTAAGGGTGGCTTGGGTGGCTTGCTGCTGCTCCCCAGGGTGGGTCAAGGGTCCGTGGCTTCGTGGCCTGTATCTCACCTCCTGTGTGTTTTGCAGATAGCTGGATAGAAAACGACAGCCTGTCGGTGGACAAGCATGTGGATGACCAGCTGGACAGCAGCAGCATCAAGAGCAGGGGCAGCGTGCACTCAGCCGCCAGCAGCGAGCACAAAGGCTTGCCCATGCCCCGGCTGCAGGCGCTGCCGCCTGGCCAGGTCTTCAACTCCAGCGCAGGCGTGCAGATCCTGGTCGTCCCCAGCAAAGACGACCATGTTCTCGAAGTCAGCGTCACATGACCACGCCTCGGGGAACGCGCCCCGGCCCGGCGCGAGTGCACTCGAAGGGATCCTGACTCGGTCATTCTCCATTGTAACATTCTCGCTCTAACCACGCCCGGGGACTCTGCCCGGCCACCGAAGCACCAGAGAGACGGGCTCCACGTGCAGCCGGCCAGCAGAGTCCAACACTTCCTTTGTGCTGTCAGTGGTGTCAGGTTACTTACTGCTTTCTCATCCCCCTGTCCCTGCGCCGGCGTCCCCCAGTGCCGGCCCAGAGCCCACCCACTTACCCCCACTCCCCGCTCACGCAAGCTCTTCAGAGGGGTCTCCCACCTGGGCAGCCCGCAGTCTGCCGGTTCTTCTTGAGGTCCGTGTGTCTTCCAGGGAGACGCTCAGCAGGCCTTGCGGTCTTGGTAGTGACACGCGTGTGCCTTTCTGGTCACGCGGCTGCCCGATGTCCGGACCGGGTGGGTTTGTCAGTCTCCTAAGGGGTAACGCAGTCCTTTACCTCAGCTCATCTCATTGTGCTTTTCTAGAAAAACCCCCTTTTAGGGCGGGTAGGTGGGGCTAAGGGGCGGGGTGGGGAGGGAACAACCCCTTCTGTGCCTTGGGATGTCGAGCTGGGCCGCCCTGGGGCACCCACCAGCTGGAGCCGTTGTAAAGGTACTTCGAGGAGACCAGAGCAGGGCCTAAGGAACAAAGAGCTCGGTATTGGAGCAGTTTAGGAAAAGATGTTTCTGGGACCCTTTTTCCCTCATAATGTTGATTGAATACCATATGCACTTGAAATTAAATATATATTTATTTTAATTATCTATGTGAGGGTAAATATGTTGTGTTTTCTCTCACCTTTAAGCTTAGAGTCTTTACATGTCATTGTAACTGTATAATCAATATTTTTCCTTTGCACCTTAAATCTTAGAAATTAGGAGTTTCCATCTGAGTGACGATTGGAGGGGTCCTCTCGGTGTAGTTCTAGTCGGGTCGTAGGGGGGCAGGAGTCCTGGAGTATTCCCTGCTGGGCCGCTAAACTGCAGTCATCCCATACCGACAGATTAATTTGCTTTTGGTTGTAAATGTAATTGTACATACGGTTGATTTATTATTTTTAAAAGTACAAAGTAACTGATGTAATGTTTATGTATAAGTTGCACCAAAAATCAAGGACAGAATAAATATGTGTTTGTTTTTATTGGTGTGAAAGTCACAGCTTGTAAATAAGTGTTGTATGTATTAAACCTTTTCCAGCTTTCCAAAGCGATGTATTTTTGTACATATGAAAAAGAGAACTCTTAATTCACTGAGAAAGTGAGGTCGGGGTTGAACTTGACCAGACTAGCTCAAGAAAGCATGGGGCCTCATGTGAATGACCTCAGATGTGTGGGCCTTACAGAAGGAGCCTCCCGCAGCTGCTGCCAGCCAGGGCGCGTCACTGGCTGGAGGGAGGCGGTGGGGTGGGGGCGCGGGGTCAGGTCGGCGCGCGCGCACTCACACACGGCAGAGCAGTTGCCATCGCTTTTCTGTAGGTTGTCTGTCGACCCAAATAAAGGTGGTACGATTTCCCCCTCATGTCTTTTTCATTTACAGAAATCAGAGAAGTGTGTGAAGAAGATAAATATTGGTGTGTTTCATTAAACTTTCCAGAAATTGATCTTCCTTATGAGCAGCTTAAAAACTAATAAACTTGGTCAACTAGTTAGGCAAATTAGAACTTCAGCATCTAATGATGGCTTAGGGTTTCTAAAATAAGCTTGTTTTATTGTAAACATTGACGATTGCCCTTCATATCTACCAAAGCCCTGTGAATGAAGATGCTTGAGATTCGATTCAGTCGGAAAAGCTCTAATCCTTGTGGTCAGCCTCAGAGCTAAAGGGACTGAGCCCACCTCCCTGCGTGATGGAGCTTTTCTTCTTCCTTCTGGAAGGGACAGTGTGGGTCAATGGTATCCTTATTTCTGTTTGATTTTTGTGTCTGGGCTCTAATCCCAGGATGAAATTCTCAAACAGTATAGATTTAAAGGGGAAAAAATGAATAGAAAATCCAAAATTTTTATGATTTCTTACTGTCTGGAAATTTAATGAAATCAAACTTATCACAGGTTTGTTTTTTTACCCTAACTACCCAAAAGATCTTTTGCAATATGAGTTACATGACTGCCTCTTAAAATTTTTTTTTTGTTTTTTACACAAAAGAAGGATGTCACCTAAAACACCATTTTCTTTTTAACTAAAAGGCTATGATTGGATTTTTGTTGTGTTTAAAATAAGTCTTATGGGTTTGAGACAAGCTGGTTTTGTTGATAAAGATGTAGCAGCTGTCAAATAATTACAAAGCCAGATATAGAATGTACATCTAAAAAAAAACAGAATATGCAGCTACTTTGCAAATGTGTGGAAATGTAAATATTAGCCAAAGGAAAAGAAAGTTATAATTTTGGTGAATTTCATGGGGTCTCCTATGATTGGAAAAATTATAACTCTGCTAATTCTAATGTGAAAATTGTTGTACTTAATCTGAAAATGACTTCTACCTACAGTTTCATTGTCAGCACAGGCTGTCGTGGGCTGGATTCCTAAATTAGTAAGTTGACGAGGGTAGATATACCATAAAGAGCCAGTAGAGAAAATACACACAGGCTTATATTCCATTTTTCTTTAGTGTTTAAGGTTGTTACAAAATTAAACACTCCAGGTGTGTATATAAAATGAAAAAGTTAAGTACTTTTTATAAAAGAACAAACTAGGCTGATATAAATGTTTCACTGTCAACTGTGACTTTTAAATCCTACATGACTTTAAAATTTGATTTTTCATGAAAATGTCCCTTACTCTAAATTTATTCATCTTATACACTAGGCTATAAGACCAGAGAAAGCATTGTTAGTAGAATTTGCTGGGATTCTGTGACTGGAAAAGGTGACAAGTTGGTGACTTTGACACTGCAGGTATTAATTCCATTTTCATGGTTTACTATGAAAGTCATTTTTCACATTACTCTGTAATATATTGTTAGACTAAAACCATTGTATTAAGACTGTTTAAAATGTAAGCATTATAATTCTGAAAATACACATTTTAAGAAGAAACTTCGCTGATTGGAACTTTGTTCTTTTACTGAGTTAAAATTTATTTTCAATTTATTTAGTTTTAGAAAGGGGAGGGAGAGAGAAAGGAGAGAAACATCAAGGCATGGTTGCTTCTCACCAGGCCCCCTACTGGGGGGCTGGCCCACAACTCAGGCATGTGCTCTGACTGGGAATCGAACTGGGTAACCTCTGGTTCCTAGGCTGGTGCTCAATCCATGAGCCGCTCCAGCCTGGGCAAGAATTTTCTGGTTTTCCCTCCCTGATCCTTGTTTCTGACTCTAAGCGTTGATAATTCATTTTGGGGGAGCATTAGGGGCTTCATCATTTATTACCGTCTAACTCACAAGAACTAAGACATTTGCTTCAGAGGTTTGTGGGTTTGTTTTTTTGTTGTTGTTGTTTTCTTTGGTAGACATTTGCCAACCTAACGTTTGACAAGGTAATAAATTGCTTCTGTGTTGTTTGGTAGCATCGATAAAACAATTTCTTCGGAAGAGAGTGGTTTCCAACTTATTCTGAGTCTCATTCTGCTGTAACTCTCCTTTCATAATCCGAAGATACTAAATAAGCGCGGGGGGTTGGTCACCTCACGCTCCTTAGTTCGCGAACCGTAGTTCAAGGTCGATCCTGGTCCTGCTCAGGCGCGCGGCTCCGGATTGGCGGGCGGCGGCGCCCACGGGCTCAGGCTCGGACTCGGGGCAGGGCGTGGGCGGGGCCTGGAACTCTTTCTGGGTGGGGCGGAGCCGGAGGCCCAGGCTCCGCCCTGGGGTGGGGCGTGGCGTGCTCGGGGCGGGGGCTGGGTCTCCGATTCCGGCGGCGCCTCACCTCCGGGCCGGTGGGGGCGCTGTGGCGTACGGTCGCGGCCGGCCCGGAAGTTCCCGCTGCTGGTCGGTAGGTGAGCGGGGCTCGGAGGGTGTGTGGCAGCACACGTGCAGGGGCCGCAATGAAGTTCGCCTACCGGGTGAGTGTGAACGCGAGTTGGCACACGGTGTCTCTCGGCGGCCGGGGTCCGGGTGGGACCGGGGGGCGTGGAGGCAAGGGTGTAGGTGCTAGAGACCTGGTCTTTGGGGGCCAACTAACCATGCCTGGATGGGCTCGGCGTGCGGCAGCACTGTCCTCAGCAGGTAAAGGGACGTAGTCTGGGTCGCGAGGGCTGCTAGCGGCAGCAGCGTCCTGTATCCGGAGGGAAGGCGGGCCGGACCGTAGGCGGCGGCGGGCCGCGGGTAGGCAAGCCCGGAGCTGACATCCCGGTTACCCGAGGCCGCGGTGACGGGGAAGGGTGGTGGCGCAGATGGGCGGAGACGAGTCACTGAGCCCACCCAACGTCACTCTGTCCTCATCTTGCTCCGTGGCTCAGGATCAGTGCCTCAGCGGCTGACCTGCTGCTGGTCCCATTCCTCCTCGGCTGTTCTTTCGCAAAGGGCGGGTCATTCCCCCTGGTGGGTCTCTGCTCCGTGCAGGCCCCCAGCGGCTGCATCCCGCACCTGCGCTGCTCCCTGTCTCCCCCCCGAGAGAGTGCTCCTGGGACCCAGCACAGTGGGTTCGTGGCTTGGAGTGTCTGCGCCAAAGGAGCACAAGTCTTGTTGGAAGAAAACGTTTTGTTCTTACTTGTGACAAGTAGAGGAGGCAGGGGTGATTTCCAAAGCTATTGCTTATGTGCACCGGTTAATTATTTGTTGATAACGTTCTTTGCAGTTGGCTAAACTTATCCTGTTGTGGTTCCAGTAAAGCTCATTTGCAAAATACTTTTGCTACATTTTAGTAAGAACTGCCCAGACTTTGAGACCCTTGCCATACCTAGCACTCCCTTGTGACCCAGACCTGGAGGGGCTTCGCCACTACCCTTGTTCCTCCCATATCCAACTCTTAGCAGGGCCCCCAGCTCCTCTGCTCTCTCTGTTCCTGGGGCCACCTCCATGGTCGGGACACCTTCACCTTCCATGTGGAATAGCATAGGAGCCTAAATGGCTTCTCTGCTTCCCTTCTTGCTTCCATGGTCATCGGAGTGGCCTGCAAAAAGTGGGAACTGGATTATGCATGCCTCTGTTTAACACCTCCTCAGATGACCAGGTTCTGCCCTCACCCCAACCCCCGCCTCCCTGAGGTCCTCGGGGTTTCTGCTGGCCTGCAGCTCCCAACGCTGGCCTGGCTGGCTCCGCCTTCATGTTCCAGCCCAGGTGGCCCCTCCAAGGGTTCCTCCCTGACCACCCTCTGAAATGCCCCTGCCCCTCCCACTGCTGGGGTTTCGCTGGCACAAGGCTCCTCTATTCAGGAAGCCTTGAACCCAAGATGCACTTGGGGCCCCGTTTGATTGCTGCTGTTCTCCCCTCCACCGGACAAACATCTTCTGTCTGGAGGCTTCCCCGGCGCTCACAGTACCCGCCGGCCACCTTGGAGGGAGCTCGGGGCTCCTGGGGGTCGACTGGGCTCACTTCTCCCTCCTTCTCTTGCTCAGGGCTGGGCCTCGTAAGCAACAGCAAGTGTCCCAGGGGATGACTGGAGGGACCCCAGGAATGACCGGGGACCCTGCAGAGGCTCTGCGCCATGTCCTTGACCAGACGCACCACTTACCCCTTTTCCGGGGTGGAGACTCTTTGCATTTTCTTTGTCTTGAGAGAGCTTTGTTTCCTTTCCAGTTTTCAAATTTGCTGGGGACAGTCTATCGGCGTGGAAACTTAAATTTTACATGTGACGGAAATTCAGTGATTAGTCCTGTGGGGAATAGAGTCACTGTATTTGACCTTAAAAAGTAAGTATGCTGAACTGGTATTGACGGAAGCAGTCATTATAGTTTGCTTGTGAAAATCGATGGTGTTTTTCTCCAGTCCTCTTCCTAGTACACCTGTTAGTTATTAAGGCCGCCCGAGATGGGGCCACAGGATTCCACAGAATCGCTGGGCCAGTTGTGGAACTGGCCGTGGGAATCCAGTTTCTTCACTCTAGTTCCTCAGCTAAGCCCTGGGTATCTAGGTCATTGTTACCTTCGAGGTACAACTGTGTGCCACTCCGCCAAATTGTGTGCAGAGGCGGCGTGGAAGCCCCCCTGGGCTCCTGCCCAGGCAGCACGGCGCTCGCTGCACTTCGGTTCTGCTTGCTCAGGTGTGTGCGCTCTGTCCCGAAGCAGGGCGGGTGGCTGCTGTGTTCCTTTCTTAAGGGACGGACTCCTGCGTGGGCTGTCACCTCTTCCCAGGCTTGTGTGGTCTGAGCGAGATCCTCCTGGCAGGGAGGTTACCTGGTTTCTTGCTCTGCAGGCCTCAGCTTCCCAGTCTGTAAAATGGGACAGCAGTGCGAGCATTCTCTGAGGACCCTTTGCGGTAGTGTCTGAGAGCAGCGCCTGTGCGGGGTGGGCCCAGGGCCGGCTGCTGGCGTGGTCATTACTGCCACTGTTCCGTGTAAGCGGCATGTGACAGGGGTTCTCTAGGGTGATTATCACATCCTCACTGGAGAAAAAATGGAAAATAAAATAAAAGACAAAATCAGCATCTAACCCAATGGTTACCATAACTTGTTTTTCAGTTTTTGTGCATTTTCTGTAAAACAACTTTAATGATGTCCTGCACTTGCGGTTAATCCCTCCTGTGGGACCGTAGGCTTGTTTCCTGTTTTCTGACTTTATACAAATGCAAAAACTTGGGGTGCCATCCTAGAAGCAAAATTGACGTATCCAAAGCCCATTTTTAAGGTTTTTAATATGCCATGCCATGTTTTCTCGGGGTTTGTCTACTTCCTTTCCCTTCAGCAGGGAGTGAGGACTAGCAGTGGGCTCTGGCCCAGGAGCTGGGAGGGCCACGTTTTGGGGGTGGGCAGCCTGGTGGTCCCGGCCTCTCCTGATGACATGCGACCAACTGCACGGCTCTGCTCTTTCCCTCTCAGCAACAAGTCCAACACGCTGCCCCTGGCCACTCGGTACAATGTCAAGTGCGTGGGGCTCTCCCCAGACGGCCGTCTCGCCATCATCGTCGATGAAGGTAACCACTAGTGAGCACAAGAGACAAGAGGTGGTGGTGCAGGGTGGTGACCGATGGCACCAGTTGGGGGGCGGATGTGGGCATCAGGGTGACACAGAGCCCAGTCCGGGGCCTGTGGGGGGTGGGGGGCCCACGCAGTCCCCTCCCCCGGCTGCTTTCACATCTCGGCCCCGGTGAGGGGGTGTGTGCGCAGTGTGGGTGTGCCTGGGCATCCTCCCTGGCCTGTGCCCTTAGCAACAAGGCGGGGGGGGCCTCCTGTGTGGAGGGCGGGGCGTGCTTCCAGAGCCCTGGTGCCGGCCGTGGAAACACGCGGAACTCCCCGAGTTTCATCCGCATGTCAGGTGGACACAGTGGCTGCTCTCTTTCTCCAGGGGGCAACGCGCTGCTGGTCAGCCTGGTCTGCAGGTCCGTGCTGCACCACTTCCACTTCAAGGGCTCTGTGCACAGCGTCTCCTTCTCCCCCGATGGCAGGTAAGGGCCCGCCCCCCACCCTTCTGCTCAGGACCGGGTGTTACTGAGGGCTGGAGCCGGCTGGTGCTGACCTGGGGGGCTCTTCCCACTCTGGACATCATTGTGGGAGCCTGTGCTCGGACTCCCGTTGGCGGCCCGGACGGGTTCCTGGGCTGAGTGCTTCCGTGAGGTCCGGGTCCTGCAGGGCTGCCCGGGCGTGGCCCTTCTTCTCCCCCTGCTCCAGGGCGGAGGACACGCCGTCTCCAGGGCAGGCGTGGCCCCCGGGGGGTCTTACAGCCTCCAGATAGCGAGGCCGGGAAGGAGCCACCCACCGGCTCTGAGGCCCCAGAGGGGGGGGTTTGTTCCTGGGCCCACCAGGATGTGCCACGGAGCGGGGGAGGGGGCTTCAGGTTTCGGCTGGGCCCCCCGCCGAGTGCTCACATTCAGAAACCCCTTCGAGCGGCAGCCGAGGTGGTGGCCACTCCTTGGTGCCCGGCACACATGCAGGGCTGGTGTCTTCGTTTTGGCTCCACCCGGGGCTGTCTGAGCTTGTCCTGGCTTTGGGGGTGGGCAGCCGGAGGGAGCGCCTGAGGGAACGCTGCCCAGGGCAGGGGTGCGGGCAGGGCCCGCAGACGTATCTGCCTCCTCCCCGACCCTGCCCGTCCGTCCTTCGGGGGCCGGAGAGAGGCAGGTGCCCCGGGTCTGCCTCTCGGGAGAGACTGACCTCAGAGCAGGGGAGCTGTCCCCTCCGAGGCCCTGAGCTGGCCTCAGGACTCCCGCTGGTGTGGAGTATGGATGGCTGCTGTTTCTGCCGCAGGAAGTTCGTCGTCACGAAAGGCAACATTGCTCAGATGTACCACGCGCCTGGAAGGAAGCGGGAGTTCAACGCCTTCGTCCTGGACAAGACCTACTTTGGGCCGTACGACGAGACCACGCACATCGACTGGACGGATGACTCCAAGTGCGGGTTGGCAGGGGTGGCCGGGGAGCCTGGGGGGGACCCCTTGTTAGAGAGGGCACACCGGGTGTCCGCTGTCACCTCCTGACGTTTCATTTGAAATGACCGCTCCTGAGCCTTGTGTGGGGCTGGGTGCCGGGAGGGCTCCTGGCTGAGGGAGGGCCACACGGCCTGGCGTCGGTCACTGAAACCAGAGCGCAGGACGGGGACCCTGACGAGGAAAGCTGTAACCCAGTGCGTGTGGCCGAGCTCGTGCCATCGAATGTCTCAAGAGCCACGGTCAGCGGGCGAGTTGGCGGGCGTCTCCCCACACAGGCGCCGAGGGTGGCTCGGGCCTGTCCTGTCACAGCCGCCATCCCCAGCCGTCCCCAAAGGCACCTGAGTGTCGCTGGCTGTTTCTCTGCTGCCCTTTGCTCTGCGGGCAGAGAGAGGCGGGGCTGGCAGTGGCTAATCTCTACGTCAGACCGCGGTGTCACAGATCCTGGGCCACGATGGGGAGACACGGCCCCCAGGCGCTGTGTCGGTGGGAAACGATGGTCTCCCGTCTCTGGGGGATGGGGCAAGGGCGGGTGCCCCGAGACTAACCCTTCTCTCACGAGGCGCCTGGGTCTGGCTCTTATCACCGTAGCAGTTTGCTGCAGGGGACTTGGGGGTGGTCAGGGAGGCTTGAGGAGCAGGTTCCCCACACAACCCTGAATGGGCGCCGCCATCAGTTCCTGGGGTTCCCCCGGATGCCCCTGTGGGGGACTACTTCTCGGGGAAGGACAGTGGTACCTGCGCACCAAGGCTCCTGGTCTCGGCAGATGCCCACGGGGATATAGCCGGTGCCCCTGGCCTATCCCCACGCACCACCCTGGGGTGGCCCCCCGTGCTCGGGCAGGTGCCCAGCTGGTGGCCCTGAGGACGAGCTGTGTTTCTTCTGTCCAGGTGCTTTGCGGTCGGGAGCAAAGACATGTCCACGTGGGTGTTTGGGGCCGAGCGCTGGGACAACCTCATCTACTACGCCCTGGGGGGACACAAGGACGCCATCGTGGCCTGCTTCTTTGAGTCCAACAGCCTAGACGTACGTCCCTGCCCCCAGAACCCCTAGCCTCACGGCGCCCCTCGTCACGGCCATGGGTGGGGCCCTGGGCCCTTCCCTGTAGGTGGAGGTGCCCCTTCCGCGGAGGTCCTCCTGGGTCAGCTGGGGTCATCGGTGGCTGTTGGCTGCCCACGGGGAGTCGTCTGTCAGTGCGTGGCGGCAGCTTCGCCAGAACGCATAAACGGGGTTCCCGTCACGGCCGCCTGCGGGTGGTGTGGGCTTGGGGCCTGGGTGACGAGCACCCACCCGTGTGCTTCCAATCGCAGCTCTACACCATCAGCCAGGACGGAGCCCTGTGTGTGTGGCAGTGTGACACGCCCCCTGAGGGCCTGCGGCTAAAGGCCCCCACGGGCTGGAAGGCAGACCTGCTGCAGAGGGAGGAGGAGGAGGAGGAGGAGGAAGAGGGGGAGCAAGAGACCACCATACGAGGGAAAGCCACGCTGGCCTCGGAGGAGCAGAAGGGCAAAGTGAAGTACTCTCGGCTGGCCAAGTAGGTCTTAGGTCTCCGGTCCTCGGAGGGTGGAGGGCCTTGACCTTCTCAGGCTGGGATGTGACACGGATGGGGCACCACCGGGGCAGGGACCCAGAGCACAGGGGACAGGCCCTTTCTCCTCGGGCCCATCCTGGGGAGGCGTGGCTCCAGGGCACCAGCTGGGAGCCTGCCTGGGTCCCGAGCCGGGGTCGGGGAGGCTCGGGGAGTGGAGAGCCGCCGCCGCTGCGGAAGTAGGGGAGTCGAGGCAGCGCAGTCGGGGCTGCTGCCCGCGTGCCCGGCGTGGAGCAGGGCTGCGACCTCTGAGGCCGGGCCGGGTCAGAGCTGTGCGACCAGCCTGGCTCTCTGGCCCTCCTTCCACAACTCTGCCGTCCCCCATCCATTTAGGTATTTTTTCAATAAAGAAGGAGATTTTAATAATGTGACAGCCGCAGCCTATCACAAGAAGATCCACCTCTTGGTCACTGGTTTTGCTTCTGGAATCTTCCACCTTCACGAGCTCCCAGAGTTCAACCTCATCCACTCCCTGAGGTGGGTGCCTCTGCTCTCTGTGGTGGGTGTGGTTGACCGAGGTCCCAGGGACCGGTGGCAGGGGACGGGTGGGAGCCATGCTGTGCCTGCCCTGACCTCAGGCCGGGAGTGGCCAGGAGGCCTGAGCGGCTGCCGCAGGGCTTCCCCGGACACCTGCCCTCGTCTCTGTCCCGGCCAGGTGCACGGAGGGCTGGGGGGGACACCTGCCCTCGTCTCTGTCCCGGCCAGGTGCACGGAGGGCTGGGGGCTCGGGCGCTGCCGCCCCGCCCCGCCGCAGGTGTTGCCGTCCCCTCTCCTGGGCTCTGGTCCCGTGTGTGGGTCGCGTCATTTTGTTTTTTACCTTCTGTTCGGCATCACTGTTACGCAGAGAAGGTTAAGATGCTGGTTTCACAAAGTCATGCATCTTTATGGCTGCGAAGGCAGCGCAGCGCTCTGGGTTTTCGGAGTTTTACACGAGTGGAATTGTTTGCTCTAGTGAGTGGGTGGGAGAAAGCGCGTGGGCCGGAGGCGAACCCTGTCCTCGGTCACCGGCCACCTGGAGGGTGGGGACAGGGGGCTCTTGCGCTCACTGAGTCCTGCTTTCTGCTCAGCATCTCAGATCAGAGGATCGAGTCCGTCGCCATCAACAGCTCTGGGGACTGGATCGCCCTGGGCTGCTCAGGTGCGTCTGCCCGACTGGGTGAGAACAAGAGGCAGCTTCTGCTCTGGGACGCCTGCTGGCGGTCCCGCCTCGGCCCGGGACCCTCCAGGGCCTGGGAGACAGCTGCCAGGGGCCTGCTGTGAGCAGAGGAGGTCAGCGGCGGCTCGTGTGAAGGGGCAGTCGGTGAAACTTCCAAAACGAGGCTGCTCTGGTGGGCCACAGCAGGTGTCTGCGCTGTGGGCCACCCTGCGCGCCGGTGACTGGGAGGCCGGTGTGTCTGTGTTGGGGCCCCGCACCCAGGAGGAGGGTGATGGCGGCCTCTGCCTCGGGGCGGGGGGGGGGGTGCGCGGTGCGGTCACCGTGCCGATTTGACTCCGGGCCACGTAGCCCACTGGGAATCTCACGGGCGGTTGGTGCCTTCGTCTGCCCGCGGGGCAGGGTGTCAGGAGCGAGTCCCCACCCCCGCCCCTCATGTGCCCCTCAGGCCTGGGCCAGCTGCTGGTGTGGGAGTGGCAGAGCGAGTCCTACGTGCTCAAGCAGCAGGGCCACTTCAACAGCATGGTGTCCCTGGCCTACTCCCCCGACGGGCAGTACATCGTGACCGGCGGCGACGACGGCAAGGTGGGCTGTGTTGCCGTGGAAGGGGGCTGGTCAGCGGTGAGGGAGCGTGGCCTGGGAGCAGCTGCGGGGTCCTGCCCCTGTCCCGTGGGCCTCAACTGTGGGGTTCAGCCTGCAGCTCGCAGGCTCACGTCGCCTGCCCTGGGCTGGTGAAAAAGCATCTACATACTCACGGGATCTGAGTGGGGGGGCCCAGGTGTCTCCCAGGGTGCTCACAGCACCCTCTGATGCGGGCGAGTGCTCGCTGCATCTCCCAGGGTGACACAGGATCCCCCCCACACACACAGTCCCCCAACCCTCCCTCACGTGGGGGCAGTGGGAGGAGGCAAGGGGCAGGCAGGTGGTCTCTGGGGGCCTCGGGGCCCACATGGGGTTCGTGTGTGAGAGAGGGAGCAGGCCTCAGCCAGGGCCCACCTGTTCCTCACTCTCCCCAACCCCCGTAGGTCAAGGTGTGGAACACCCTCAGCGGCTTCTGCTTCATCACTTTCACGGAGCACTCAAGTGGGGTCACTGGCGTGACCTTCACCACCACTGGCTACGTCATTGTGACCTCTTCCATGGACGGGACTGTGCGGGCCTTTGACCTTCACAGGTGACCTTTCTGCTCGGGCTCTGGCTCTGGCTCAGAGCAGGCTCCTCTGCGTTGGGGTGGGGACAGGGGCTCGGGGCGAAGCTGCAGCCTTCAGGCCCTGGGAGCAGCAAGGCACGAGGGACCTCAGCGAGCGGAGCCGCCCTGGCTCTCCTGTCTTCCCGGCAGATACCGGAACTTCCGCACCTTCACGTCCCCGAGGCCCACCCAGTTCTCCTGCGTGGCGGTGGACTCGAGCGGGGAGATCGTTTCTGCCGGGGCCCAGGACTCCTTCGAGATCTTTATCTGGTCCATGCAGACGGGCAGGCTGCTGGAGGTGAGGCCCGCCTGTCCTGGGAGCTGCTGCGCTCCGGAGGGTCGGGGGGCCGGGAGACGCGCCACACGCAGGGAGGGCGCCTCCCGACGGGACTGCCTGCAGACGCTCTCAGCTCTCAGCCCTCCTCTGTGACCGGCCGCAGGTCTTGTCCGGCCACGAGGGGCCCATCAGTGGTTTGTGTTTCAACCCGACGAGGTCGGTCCTGGCCAGCGCCTCCTGGGACAGGACAGTGCGGCTGTGGGACATGGTGGACAGCTGGAAGACCACAGAGACGCTGACGCTGACCTCCGACGGTGAGCTGCGTTGCGGGCTCAGCGGGCGGAAGCCGTGGCCCAGGGCAGGAAGGCCGGGTCTTGGCGTTGGGCCTGCCCACCGTGGCTGGCTGTCTGGGTGTAAACTCAGGTCTCCCAAGGGCCCCACCGCTGTTGGGGTTGGCGACGCAGTCATGTACCTTTAGGTCGGGCCTTCCCCAGGACAGCGAGCGGGGGCCCAGGCTGCAGCTTCCTGACACGTCCTGCACTAGCTGGTGGGAGGCAGTGGGTGCAGTGGGCCCCACACAGCCCCCCACCACCTGTGGGTGCGTACGGAGCTGTCCCCATGCACAGCCGGTGCGGTGTGGACGTCTCATCTGTGACTGCTCTCCACTGTGGTGGCGGAGTTGACCGGTCACGGCAAAGGCTGGATGCTTGCCATCTGGCACTGTGCAGAGCACATTTACCGGCCACAGGACTCTGGGGCTCTGTGGGGTCCCTGCTTTCTGCTGCCCACCTGGCCCTGGTTCAGTCTCTCAGCAGCCGGCGCCCTGCGCCCCTCTGGGGCCTCCTCACTGACCTCCACCTCCAGTTGGTCTGTTCCCACCAGCGCCCTCCCACCGGGCGGGCCCTTGTTCAGCCCTTCGTGACCCGTTTTGTGGCTGAGCCTGAAGCCCCCGTCCCGAGGCAGTTGGGGCCCTGTCTGCACTCGCAGCGGGTGTGGCCTCCCTCCTGCGGTGGGGCACCTGGGAGAGCTCCCATGCCCCCCTCACCGCCCTGCTGGGACCGCCCCCTCAGGGAGCTGGTGACAGGACAGCCAGGGTGTGGCTCGTCAGCTGGAGCCCAGGGCCTTGCTTGGGCCCTGAGTCTGTGCGTCTCTCCCCAGCTCTGGCTGTGACCTACCGCCCCGACGGTGCAGAGCTGGCGGTGGCCACGCTGAACTCGCAGATCACCTTCTGGGACCCTGAGAACGCTGTGCAGACGGGCTCCATCGAGGGCAGGCACGACCTCAAGACCGGCCGGAAAGAGCTGGACAAGATCACCGCCAAGCACTCAGCCAAGGGGAAGTGAGTGCCACGGCGAGGGGGGGGGGTCTCTCACAGGGGCGTGGCCCTGGGGCTCCGCCCCCGCAGAGGGAACACTGAGCCTTGCGGGGCTTTGTGGGGGTCGGTGGCTGCAGTGTCCTCGAACTTCGGCTGCGTGAGCTGTGCCACCCTGAGCATTGTGGGACGGGCTTGTGCGGACGCCTGTGTTTGGTTCTCGTGGGTCTGTCCCTAGGTGTGGAGTTGCTTGGGGACTTAGGGTGACCCCTTTTGAGGGACTGTGGATGGTTTTCCAAAGACGTGGCACCGTTTCCCTCGCCCCTAGCAGTGCGGGGGGGGGGGGGGGGTCCAGTCCCCCACCTCCTCGCCACCCCGTGACTGCGTGTCACTCTGAATTGCAGCCGTCCCGGTGGGTGCGAGGTGGGGTCTCGTGGGTGCGGTTTGTGTTTCTCTGAGGATGGACAGTGCCGAGCACCCTTTCACGGGCGGGTTGGCTGTTTGACTGTCAGCTTCGGAGAAACGTGTCTCCGGAGCGTCTGCCCACTTTAACTGGGGTGTCTGCCCTTCTCGCTGAGTTGTAAGAGTGCATGTATTCAAGATACAAGAGCCTTATCGGGTACCAGGACCCGGAAATATTTTCTCCTGTTCTGTGGGTTGGCTTCACTTTCTGGACAGTGTCCTTTGGAGCACAAAGGTTTTTAATTTTGAAGACGTCCAGTTCCAAGGGTGGCCTCCTTTGTATTCTGATTTCAACGAGGACACGCCCTATCTTGAGCCCCGTGGCCCTTTGGTGCCAAGGCCGAGCCTCTCAGGAGGCTGAAGCCCACTCCCCACCTGGGGGCACTGTTGCTGCGGAAGGAGCAGGAGTGGACGTTGTGGGCTGCAGGAGTAGCGTCCCTCCAGCGTCCCGGCCGCGAGCTGTGGAGGCTGCTGGGCAACGTGGCAGGAGGACCACACGTCGGAGGTCCCGGGGTGGTGACTGAGTCCGGGTCCCCTGTGCTGCAGGGCCTTCACCACTCTGTGCTACTCTGCGGACGGCCAGAGCATCCTGGCGGGAGGCATGTCCAAGTTCGTGTGCATCTACCACGTCAAAGAGCAGATTCTCAGGAAGAAGTTTGAGATCTCGTGCAACCTGTCCCTGGACGCCATGGAGGTGGGCGAGCGGTGGGGGCTCGGGGGCACAATGCTGCGGGCTTCTCGGGGCCCGTGTGGGGCTGTGCCGGGCTGTGGTGCGAGCGCGTGAGGTGGCCGGCCCGCCCCCTTCTGGCGGGAAGTGTCCTTGGCATCGCTGAGGACGGGCCTGGCAGTCTGAGGGAGACCCTCACCCCCGTGGTGGCAGCACCGGCTCCTGCCGGGCAGTGCCAGGCTCTGGGGGAGGTCCTACCACGAAACTGGCTCGTCACCGCCTCTCCTCAGGGTCCCTGTGTCCTGTGTGCGTTCCAGGCGGGACTTCAGCGTTCACATACGTGAGCGAAGGTGGGGAGACACATCCCCCCGTCTCCCACCTCTGACGGTGCCACGTCTGAGGTTTTGCTCTTCTAGGAATTTTTGAACCGAAGGAAAATGACAGAGTTTGGCAACCTGGCGCTGATCGATCAGGACACCGGGGAGGAGGACGGAGTCGCGATACCGCTGCCAGGCGTGAAGAAAGGTGAGCAGGGTCCCTCGTGTCCCCCGTGGACTTGGCCACGGCAGGCCGCCCTGTGCTTGGTTCTCTGGGTCGTCGAGTTTCGTTCCATGGGGACGTATTATCCGTAACACAAGGGATCTGGAAATGAAGCGCCAGAGAGGATTTGCGGGACACCTGCTGGGGAGGGTGAGCCTCCACTCCAGAGCCGCCTGGTGCGGTCGTGCAGCGTGTGCACTGCACCAGGTGCCCGGTCGAACGGGCAGGCGGGGACGAGAACCCCCACCCCGCCTCGCAACCCTGGCCGGGGCAGGGGTCACCTCCCGGAACTGAGCCGTGTGCTGGTCAGGCCGCACGCCTGCGGGACTGTCTGTTTCGATGGCTCGTTCATGCAGGTCAGAGGCGCCCAAGGAGCAGCATCTGGGGCCCAGGGCTCTCCTGCTGCCCCTGCAGACGGGGCTGCATGGCCTGGGGCTGGGCTGCCGCTCCTGCTGGGCCCCCGGCCACCCTGGCCAGCGAGGTGACTCGGGCGGTTCTCTCTCGGCAGGCGAATGGCAGGGGATGCTCTGCCCTGTAACCGAGTGGTTTCTTTGATTTCCAGGTGACATGAGCTCTCGTCACTTCAAACCCGAAATCAGGGTGACTTCACTCCGCTTCTCTCCCACCGGTGAGCCACGCAGGGCGTTGTTGGTACTGGAAGCGGTGGGGTCGGGCGTGGGGACCCCACACTGTGCAGGACTGGCTCCCCGGGTCCATGTGGTCTCAGCGTCTGGCTAGCTCTGGGCCGCACTGTCCCCCATGCTTAAGACACGGTCACTTCTGTCCTCTGGAGGATGGCTGTGAAAGCTGTGACCTCAGACAGGCTGGGCTTGGGAACCGTAAGGCAGGCATCTGCTCTGAGCACCCTTCACGTGTGCCGTTGGGGCCATCCTGGGGCCGCCTCGTCCGCCGCCAGGCGCCTTGCTGCCCACCCGGCCCGCCGTCCAGAGCGCCCAGCAGATCGTCTCTGACGGCCGTGGGTGCGGGGCAGCACCTCCAGGCCTGGGGCCCACCGACCAGAACACGGCAGGGCTGCAGAGGGCCTGTCTGCAGTCGTTGGTAGCGGACTCTCCAGCCCAGACTGAGTGACGAGGGCACTAAGGTGCAGGGGCAGCAGGTGGCATTGTGTCGCCGCCGTGTGAACCAGGGGTGTGGACCACAGCCGAAGTATGGGTCTGGGGACCACCTGGTTTTGCAAGTATAAATTTATAGACCAGCCACGCCGGTTCCCTTGTGCCTTCTGTCCCGGCCCTGTGGTGGCCTGAGATACTGCAGCAGAGACCACATGACCTGCAGGGGTGGAAGTTCGTGCCCTTGACCGGAAAGGCTGCCAGGCCTGCCGGTGCGAGCAAGGCGGGGGGGCCCATACGGGTCTGCTGCCGAGTGCACACACCACTCAGGAGGACGGCTTGCCGCAGGACCCAGGCGCTCCTTCCGGAGGGGCCGGGGCAGGGGCGAGAGGAAGACAGCCCGCGCTCCCTCTGTGCTGCTGTGTTGGGGCCCACGGGAGCGTGGTCAATACCTGTTCCTCCAAATAACAGAGGAGAAGTGAGAGGAACTCTTTAGGAGCCATGCGATTGCTTCATCCCGCAGGGCGCTGCTGGGCGGCCACCACCACCGAGGGGCTCCTCATCTACTCCTTGGACACCCAGATGCTCTTTGACCCATTCGAGCTGGACACCAGCGTCACCCCTGGGCGGATCCGGGCGGCGCTGCGCCAGCGGGACTTCACCAGGGCCATCCTTATGGCTCTCCGGCTCAACGAGAGGAAGCTGGTGCAGGAGGCCCTGGAGTCGGTGCCCTGGGCCGAGAGTGAGCGCCCACAGGGCCTGGCTGGGGCGAGTGGGGTGGGCGGGTGCAGAGAGGGGCCCTCCCCCCGATTGGAGTTCTCCGCAGAGTGATCGTGGACTTCCTCTCTTCCTACAGTCGATGTGATCAGCGCCTCCCTCCCCGAGCTGTACATGGAGAAAGTGCTTGAGTTTTTGGCTTCGTCCTTTGAAGTGTCTCGCCATCTGGAGTTCTACCTCATATGGACTCAGAAGTTGCTCATGGCCCATGGACAGAAGCTGAAGTCCAGGTATGGTGTGCTTGCCTGCTCGTCATCTGTGCCTGCTGGCACTTGGGCAGCTGGCCTCTGCGGGTGTAAAGGGAACCTGCGTGCACACCCGCCGTGAACCGGGGCCTGTGCATGCATGCACAGCATGAAGCGAAGCCTCCGCGTGCACGTGTGGTGTGCTGTGAGGCCTTTACACGCGACACAGCCCGCGACGCGAGGCTGGTGTGGCACTCTGTAACTGCTGAGCACTGAGGGAAGTCTCCTTTCCAGAGCCGGGAAGCTGCTGCCGGCCGTCCAGTTCCTTCAGAAGAGCATCCAGCGACACTTGGATGACATCTCCAAACTGTACGTTTCGCCGGTGTTGGTGGTGGGCAGGGCGGGCTTGTACCCTCCCCAGCTGGCCCACACCAGGGTGTGCTCCCTGTGCCACGTCGGGTGGGGACAGGAGGCTGCCGGGGCTGGAGGCGCTTGTTCCCCCACTGCCGGTGAACTCAGCCTGCTGGGTCTGCCCTCATAGTGGTGCTCGAGGTCGGCCAGCCTCAGGTGAGGCTGGGGCTGACAACGAGGAAACCGCTCAGTGAAACCAGGAGCACCTGCTGCGGTTAGGTGGGCTGGGGGCAGTGCAGGGGGATGCCGTGGTGGGGTCAGAAGCCTTCATCCTCCTGTCCTCAGGTGGTTCCTTTGTGGTCCAGGCACTGTCGGGCCCCTCCGTACCCCCGGAGGCTGAGTGAAGCCTTGGGGGCCTCACGGGTTGGCCTCTGGCGGGGGTGGGGGTGTGAAGACACCCCCTTCCTGCCGCTGATTGGGCGAGTGGGGACAGGTGGGTCCTGAGGTGCTGTTGTCGGGATCAGGGGCCAGGCATCCCAGCTGCATTCCTGAACGTCCGTCTCTGCCTTGCGTCTGGACCCAGGGACCCCAAGTCCTGTCTCGTGGTTCCTCGGTCTTTCTGAGCCTCGAACAAGCCCTTGCTCCCTGAGGCTTTTCTCCCCGAACGTCCTGGCTGCCCCGGGAACCCCGAGGCAGGGAGGGGCTGCGTGGGCTCGGCCACCACCGGCGCGAGCCTTCCTCTCGTGGACAGTTCTGCGACCCCGCACAGCTCTGTCCGAGAGGCCAGCTGCCTCCTGTGGGATCGATTCCTGGCCGCTTGGGGTGGATGTGCAGGCATTCGTTCTTCCCTGGACTTCAGCGTCGGCTTGTTGCCGGTGTGGGGGCACAGCCGGCCGTTGTGTATCGGTTTGCGGGGAGGCTCCATCCGTGCTGCCAGACTGCGAGTCTGTTTTAAGAGTTCGCAGGCTTTGCTTTTCTCTCTCATCCATTCCCCTTTCAGTGTCCTCACGGGTGGTTTGCTACGTGGAAACGGTCTTTATTCTCGTCATGTGGGGAATTGGGGTCCCTGCGTGGTCTCGAAGCCAGTACTTCCTCAGGTGTCGGGTGGGACTGGCTGATGCAGTTGAGTGGGTCGGATCCAAGGAGGGGCAGGGGCAGTGAGGCCAGACCAGAAGGACCGGGTCTCACAGTTGGGTCCCCGAAGGCCGCCGCCCAGGGCTGAAAGGGGTAGACACGGGGTGGGGGTGGGGGGGGCAGCCAGGGCAGGGATGAGAGAAGGAAACGATGGGGCTGGTGAGGCTTCCTGCAACCCATGGCTGGTTTTCTCAGTGTTACCGAGAGGGTGGGGGGTGCCCGGTGAGCCAGGGTTCGAGGTGGGATCGAAGTCACCGCTGCTTTCACTAATGTGGCCCGTGTACCTTCACAGCTGCGACTGGAACCGCTATAACATCCAGTACGCTCTGGCAGTGTCCCAGCAGCGGGGCGTGAAACGCTCCTCGGAGCCGCCGGGGAGCGAGGAGGAGGAAGCAGATGGGTCCGATGGTGACGGTGACGACAGTCTGCGCCTGTTCGGTGGAGGACGCAGGGAGGAGGACGACGGGGAGGGACTGTTGGTGTAGAGCCGGCTGGCTCTCAAGCCGGCTCATTTGAGTGCCGACGCTGGGGGAGAGAACCACGGCCGCCAGGGCCCAGGAAGAGAGTGGAGGGCAGTCTCCAGAGCTGCGGAGCCGTCGCCCAGGACTCGCTCTTCACAGAGGGACCGCGCATCTGAGAGCCAGCTGCCTGGTCCCCTGGTCAGCACTAGCTTGGCACACAGGGCCCCACCACGTGGGCCGAACATGCTGAGCTTTTGCCAACGAAGATGCCTTTTAGAGAGGCCAGTGGGTTCATATTTATAGACTCATGAACTTTGTATGCAAGTTATTTATATTTTTTTCATAATAAAGTTTTGATGACAAATTTAGGGATAAAAGATGGGGTTTCCTAAACTGTAACTATGGATGAAGTCTAAACTCTGGACTGTGGTGTTTGCAACGTGTCCAGAGTGGAACTGTCCTGCTGCCCAGCCTAGGCCCCCTGCTCCGTCATCTCTCCATCGGGGCGGGGGCGGGGTGCCTGCTTGACTCTGACCCCGGAGAAGCCCAGATGGGCCTCCTGGGGAGCTCCCTCAGACCTGCTGTGCCGGCTCTGCCCTGTGGTGGCCCTTGGCGGGGGGTCGCTGAGAGTGGCCTGGACCAGCTTTGCCACAGCCAGGTAGCAACAGCGGCGCTCTCCGGGGCATGTACAGGAATGGTGACCGCGGGCCCCACCCCACTGCTTGTCAGAGTGCAGCCCACCAGTCACTGGACGGCCTGGCTCTCCTGTGCTCCTCCAAGTGGACACATGCCCATCTCCCTCAGCTGATGTGAGCCCTCGGGCCAGGTGGGGGGTAGTGCACGTGACACCTGGTGCATCAGTATCTGCTGCTGCCGCCACCTCCACCACCCAGCAGGAAAGCCCTCCACTGCCAGCCTGTCTGCTCTTCGGCTCTGGAACCCCCAGTCCACCCACAGCGGGTGTGCTCCTGCTGGCGCAGCTCGGCTGTGCCACTGGGTGTCGGTTCCTACTCATCATCCCCACCTGGGACATCGGCTGGCTCAAGAGGCAGTCCCTCCTCCTCCTCCCCTGAGCTTACTCAGTAAGCTTCACACGTGCAGGGTGAGGGCAGCTGAGCAGGCCCCTGGTTTGACGGGGATTTGAGATGAGGCTCAGTGGGTGGGGTCCAGCAGCAGCAGCCCTGGGTTGTCTGTAGTCCCAGCCAGTTGGCCCACGGCCTCCAGCTGTGGCCACTGAAACCGTTTTAAAAACTCGTGTTAGTTTGAAAATTGTTAAGGAAAAGGCTAAAGCATCTATCCAGGTGTTCGTATGTGAACTGACTCCTGGCTAACTAGGGTGTGTGTTTTTTATTTAACGTTCAAGTTCCAGCTGGTACCTGAACGAATAAAAATGTCCCCACTGTGCAGTGATTAGTGCAAGGGCACACACTGAGCGTCAAGGGCAGCAAGAGGACTGCCCTCACGGGCTCCTGATGAAAGTCCCACGCCCCGCACTTCCACCCATTAGGCTTTCTGAGCGGAGTGGAGCCCCTGTGGGGCGGGGGCTGGGCCTGCAGTTTACAGGGGACACGCACAGGGAAAGACCCACATGGACTGAATCCGGATCCCGACGCAAACACAGCACGGACACCTGGGAGCCTCGGACGGATGCCCGAGCGTTGGCTCTTCGCTGTTCGGAGATGACTTTTATGGATGGTAGAGGACAAGGAGGCTACTTCAGCACGGTGGCCGGGCCCCTGCGCCGTCCCGAACACGCCGGCGTTGGAAGCGTGCGGCCGGACACTGGACAGCGCGGGGCGGGACTGGGGGAGACCAGCGGGGTGTCCCGGTGGCAGCGGCCTGGCAGCCCAGCAGTGGCGCCGACCGAGGGAAAGAACCACCGCTAAACGCGGACTGAGCCCCAGCACCGCCCGGCGAATGCGCAGGCGTAGCCCCTCCCACTGGCGCTCTTGCGGAGTTGAAAGGGCGACTGCGCAGGTGCAGCTGGGTTGCTCGGCGCCCAGCCCCTCCATCCTGTGACCCTGCGACCCCGCAGTCCCCCTGTGGCCATGGCGGCTGTTAGGGCTCTGGTGGCTTCCCGGATGGCGGCGGCTTCTACCTTTGTGCCGCTCCCCGGCTTCCGACCGCTGCTGTCCAGCGGCCCGGCACCCTCCCCGCGCGCGGCCTTCCACCGCTCCGCACCGCGGCCCGGGCCCAGGGTCGCTCTGGTGAGTGCAGGACCGCGGGGCCATGGGGCGGGGTCCCCGGAGGTCGGGCACCCCCACCACGTGGACTGCAGATGACCCACGCTCCTCCCGCAGGTGCTGTCCGGGTGCGGAGTCTACGACGGGACGGAGCTCCACGAGGCCTCAGCGTAAGCACGGCCGCCTTTGGAAGGGGGCTGCTTCCTCCTCAACGGTCTGGAGAAAGCTTTCTCCGATTAGAAAGGCAGAAGTGGCTGACAAGACACAGGGAGGCCCAGGGAAGTTTTAAAGTTACATCTGTAAAATACAAGGAGACACAAAATAAACCTCTTAAGTATCCCCTGTAATGCTCTCACCAGAGTAAGCACTTGTCCCTGCTGCGGTTTTGAACGGCCAGGTGTTTGCAGACATTGGGATCAGGTGCCTGCGTTTTGGCGCTGTTTTTTTTCCTCCTGCATCAGTCCACTTTCCATCCACGCGGGGCACTCGCAGCACCCTTGCCTGTAGACTGCCACTGATGTAACTTGTCAGTTGTTGACTCTCGCCACCAGACAAGGAGTGAACTTTAGAGTTTGTGGAGGTAGTGGCTGGCAGAGGGCCAGGAATGTCTTCATGGGGGCGGGGCAATGACAGCGTAGAGAAAGCAAGGAGGACTCATGGACAGCTCAAAACCTCCCAGTAGGTCAAGAAGTTGTAGGTGGAGTGCCTAGGAGGTCAGGAGAGGAGCGGGACCCTGGAGTGAGTACCAGGGCAGTTCAGGCACCTTTGGCCCTGAAATACAAGGTGCATCTCCCCTTCCTCCAAAAGGGGGCAGCAACAGCACGGAGTCTGGGAGCGACTGCAGGCCTGGCACAGAGCTGCCCTCTGTAAACACGGCTATGGTCAGCAGCCCTCCAGGCTGGTCTGCGTGTCTACGTGCCTCCCACCTCCATGACAGCAGAGTTGGGGACACCAGGAATTGAACTTCCTATCTTGACCCAGAGCCCTTCTCAAACCTTTGAGCAACCCCATCGATTGACCCGTGGGAGGAAGGCACCCCACAGCAGCCTGGAATCCAAATGGCTAGACCGTGGCACCAGTCAAGTTGCCCCACCCTCTGCACCCCAGTTCATAAAGGGAGCATGGCGACTAGCCGGTCTCTGTGGGCTAGTTCAGTGGCAGCGAATTCAAATTGTGGACATTTACGTCTATAGCAAGCCAACCACGTCTTTTTTGCAAAGCAAGTGGGTCATCACCTGTACAAGGAATTTATACTTGGCATTCGGCTAAAATCCCTGGTTTTAAAAACATGTTAACAGGTGAAGCTGGGTTGGGCCTGTCTCCAAGCCTGGTCTGATTTCCTCCCTTGCAGGGTGCTGGTGCACCTGAGCCGTGGTGGGGCTGAGGTCCAGATCTTCGCTCCTGACGTCCCTCAGATGCACGTGATTGACCACACCAAGGGACAGCCTTCTGAGAACGAAACCAGGTGTGGGTTCCACCCCTCTTGTCCTTGACTGTGAACAGGGGCGGGTGGAAGCTCCCTTGGAACCTGCACGCACAGCTGTTTCATCCCAGCCAGGGCCAAATGCATTCCAGTGAACCTCCGTCTTTTAGCGCACTTGTCCCTGGGCAGGTCTGAGGCGGGCCTCAGAGTGTTACTGTGCATTCTGTACCAAAGCATCCCTGCTGAGTGAGTGCCGCACTTCATTCTGACCCAAGTCGAGCACCTCAGTTGGCTGCCCCCACGTGTCTTGGAGTAGCTGTGAGCGGCGTTTCTGTTGCTGAGACCCCGCAGATCCACCTGTCCCCTCCTGTCCTGCCGGGACCAGAGGGCAGTGGCCCGTGGAAGGCTGTGGTTCCCAGACACCTTCCAGCTGGGATCAGACAGTGAGAAGTGGGCAAAGGGAAGAAACCGCATCTCTGTCCTGCTGGGAGCTGCCGTCCTGGTCGGGACCCCTGTGGCTTCTTTTCTGCCTGGGACGCTGGCCTTGGGGGCAGTAGCTCCCACTGTGGTTGCTGCTCTCACTCAGCACAGGAGCTCCCTAGCTTCCCCACCACCATCCTGTCATCTGTTAGTTCCCCACACGGGTGCTGTCTGCCTCGGACACCTGGGTCTGTCTGCCCGGCACCCCTGCCTGATGCAGGAGGCTCTGGATGATTCATGTGGGTTCTGAGGTGCCAAGCTGAAGGGCTCTGGGAGATGTCTCATATGCAGGCCTACGTCCTTGTAGCCCTATTACTGCATTTTCTAGGCATCAACGTGGGATTCGTGTGGGAATGCTGCTCCCTGGAGCAGGGAAAACACGGCCTTGTGTCTTGTGGGAGCCTTCCCGCCTGATCTCCTGTCTGCGCTGAACCTTTTCTAGGCTCCTTTCTGTGTTTTTCCCAGGAATGTTCTGACTGAGTCAGCAAGGATCGCCCGTGGCAAGATCACGGACCTGGCCCAGCTACGCGCCGCCAACCACGACGCCGCCATCTTCCCCGGGGGCTTTGGAGCCGCCAAAAACCTGTGAGTGTTTGAGCTCGGGGCCTTGTGCTTCTCGCCTGGAGCAGTCACGGGGACCAGGCAGTGACACGAGCCACTGCCGGGGCCTCGCAGCCCAAATGCTGAAGTAGCTGCTCTGACAGGGAACTCTTGTCGTGCGGGATTTAGGTCGCATTTTGGCAAGACTCAGAATTTTCTCACCTGCTCCTTTCTCGGCCCCCAGCACCTGGCTGCCATCATGGGTGTGACTCCCGCAGCGTAGGTGGGTCTACTCATGGCAGAACTAGTCTCTGCGCTTGTGTCCCTGTGCGCCGTGGGGCCCGGAAAACTGGTTTCCGGTCACCTGACCGTCCCAACTAGAGGAAGGAGCCCTCTCTTGCTTTGCCCCTTGGGTCATTGCCACAGCAACTGGATGGCCTGGGAGGCCGTCACTGTGACGTCCTTTGGGTTTCAGGTCCTCTTTCTTCTATTCCTTGTCTCTTCCTGTGCATTTCACAGAAACCCTCCGCGTGGCCTCACTGTCCCTGCATCTCTCTGCTGCAGCGGGCACGGGCCGCTGCGGGGGCGGGGGGTGGTGTGGGCACTGCGTGTGTTCGGGGGAGACGCAGGAGACTGGCGAGTCAGGCCCTGGATCAACAGTTTTCCTGTGTCACTTTTAGGAACATTCCTGGCCCGGGCTCAGGGGTCTGTGGTGACAAAACCCTTCCCTGTGACCGCAGGCGGCCAGGCCCCGAGGCTTGTCTTCCCACTGAGGAGGCCGTTCCTGGGGCTCTGCAGCTTCCTTCCTCAACCGGCCGCTGCCGGAGCCCCCGCCGCCCGCCCGGGGCAGCGCTCCAGGAGCCGCCGCTTCCTCCTCCCCCTCCCCCTCTCCCTCCTCTGTCCTCTCGCTCTCAGGCTGAGCGGGCGCTGCTCTCCCGCCACCCTGTGGGCCGCACCGCGCATCCTCCGGGTCCTCGCCTCGCGGCACACGCCTCCTTCTGCAGGTGTCTGGCACCTGCCTCACCTAGACGCTCCCTCCGCTACGTGACGTCTCGGGGATGCTGCCGGGCCTGCCCACCGGCCCGGTCCTTCCCAGCTGTTCCTCTGGGGAGTCTCCTCCGCCTTCCTGCACCCCCTCTCCGTTCTCCCAGGAGTTTCATCTGCACGCTGCCTCAGCTGGCACCACGTCTGGACTGCAAGTCCCCTTCTGACCCGCATTTCCAGCCGCCTGTCCCAGAGGCCCGCTGGAACCTCCGTTTGGCGTTTAGAGCCGAGTCCCTCACTGCACTCACCTGTCATCAGCATTAGCCCATCCTGTGGGGAGGGGGTGCGCGGGGCAGGCAAGGCTTTAAGCCTCAGCCAGGGTCCTTGTGCTCACGGTCTCCCCTTCATCCTGTTGGGACAGTTGACCGCTTGGTCATTGCTGTCCCCCCACAGTGGCATGTTGACCGCCCCGGCTGGCTCTGGCTGTCTGGGTGTCCTGTACCCAGAAGTGGCAGGCAGAGGTTGTTACGTTTCCTAGAATCTGACTCTGCTCATAACCCTTCTGCATCCAGAGGCCTCGGGGCTCCCCTTCACCTGCTTCTCCAAATCCGTCTGTTTTTCCCTGGTCCCCAGAGGGCTTCGTTCCCGGCTGGCCACGGCTCCTGGCCTCGCCCCCACTCCCTGTCCCGAAAACCAGCCTTTGAGGTGATTTCCACATGTCGCTATCTTTATGCGCCTCCTGGTAGGGGTGGCAGGGGACTGTCGGGATCAGCTGGGCTTTCGCCTCGGACCTTTGGGAGGATGAGCCTGCTTTACAGCCTCTGGCTATTGTGAGCACCCGCTGGAGTGTGTCCCCAGCATGGCTGACGCCATACCTGGTGGACCAAGGAGCTCAGACAGGAGGGGTGCCGGGTCCCTGGTGCATCCGTGTCTTGGTGTTAAAGGGCGTGGGGCGCCCTGGGCCACTGGGCACGTCTGTGAGCTCATGGAGCGCCGTGGGAAGATGTGACTCCCGGTCACCAGGCTCATTCTTTCCGACCATCCCGGAGGAAAGGTCAGCTTCTGCATCGGTCTCTCCTACGCAGTGGCCACTGTGGTCACTGGGGTGCAGCACGTGGCAGCGGGCGAGTCCAGTGGTGACAGGAGTTACTCAGTTCCTCCTGCATGGACCTTGCTCCCCTCCCTGGCACTGTGACTGGCTTCTGTGTGTGTTTCCTGAGTTACTCACATGCGTGATTGTGTTAGAAATCTGACCAGATGGCGGCCTCTTAAGTTCCCTGTTCTGCACTTGGTACTCTTCACTCAGCAGGGTGGCTTGTCGGCCTGTTCGCTGTCCGAGCAGCTGCACACAGTCCCGCTGGGTGAACGAGCCGGCTCTGGCGGGCGCTCGTGATGGCCAGGCCTTTCTTCTCTCAGTAGCTTTTTGGAGGTGTAGTTGGCATGCACGTGCTTACAGTGTAAAAAATCATTTTGACGTCTTTACACACTGAGAAACCATCCAGTGTCAGGAGAGCGGCCACCCGGCAGTCCTTTGCGCCCTGCAGGCGTCCCAGGCTGGAGGGGCGGGGCCCAGAGGGCGGCTCTCGGAACAGAGGGCGGACTCTGGAACCCACCCGGCGGGTCTCACCCAGTTGCCCTCCGTGGGGATGGTGCAGGCAGGCGCCCTCCGGCTGGGGCTCTTGCTCTGGTGGAAAGGGTGGCGCCTTGTTAAATTTGCATTTCTTTTCCTTGTTAGTCAAGTTGGAGTGCCTGTCGCTGGTTTTAGGCCAAGGACGGGTCTGCTGTCTCTCAGTTCCCAAACAAACCACCGGGGACCACGTGGCCTGGCCCACAGTCTGAGCCCGAGGCTCCGCTTTGCTCCGGTGTCTGCCTTCCCACCTCACCTGTGCTGCCCGAACTCCCTCCTTCCACTCCCCATGCCTCCTTCCCTTTGGAAAAACAAAAAACAAAAAACAGGAGAATGTCTAATTATCCTTGGGTTCACGAGAACCCACGGTGGAACCACAGGCCAGGTCTCGGGCAGGGGCCCTGAGCTGTGAGGAGCCTCTCGTTGCAGGAGCACGTTCGCCGTGGACGGGAAGGACTGCAAAGTCAACAGAGACGTGGAGCGCGTCCTGAAGGACTTCCACAAGGCCGGGAAGCCCATCGGGTGGGTCCTGCTGGCCGGCCGCAGGAGTGCGCCTGGCGGGGGGTGGCGGTGCGCTGGAGCCCGAGGCCCGCGGCTTGTAACTCACAGGTGGCAGCTGCCTCCCTGCGCTGTGTTGTCCTGAACACTCTCGGCCCCTTTCCTCGTTTTAATTGAGGGGGTTTCACAGGTGACTTCCAGCTCCAAAAATTCTGTAGTAGTGTGGTTTGATTTTAATTTCTCCTGAAGACTTAACAGGAAGGAGAGGGGATGGCTGTCATCTTCTAGAATGTCCCCCATCCTTCCCTGACTCCCATCCTTCCCCAGCACCACACCCCCGGCCCCCATCCGCCCTCCCGTCCTCACTCAGCCGGTCACGCCTCGCCTTCGCTGCCGCTGTGGGCACCATCCCTGCCCGGCTGCTCTCAGCCGCCGCCATCCCTCCGTGGGCGGGGCCAGCCACACCTGCAGGCAGGAGGGGCTCAGGGACCGGTGACAGAGACCTGGTGGTCAGACCTGATTTCGTCAGACGCTCAGTCCACGAGCAAGCTCTCGGTGCCTGTCTCTCGGTCCTACTTTAACAGAGTGCTCGCTTCGTCCGTGTCAGTGAGTCAGGGCGCATGCGTCGCTCGTCCTTGGAGCGGGTCCCGTGGGAGAAGGCGTGACAGGAGCACGGCAGTGCACGCACTGGGGACAGATTCATAGGATGCAAACCTGAGGCCCACGCCCCTGCTCCCGGGGTGCTGCTCTCTACCGCTTCACTGGCAAATGGAAAAGACCAGCTTACGTTAGAGTTAGATGCCTGCATCCAGGGGGGAGGCAGAGGCAGCCTAGGATAGTCCCCGCCCACTCTCAGCATCTCACAGGCCTCCAGTGACTTGGCCGGAGGCCGGCCCGGTTGCCCTCCTGGGAGCCCCTCAGTACCACCGGCACCGGCCTGGAGCCGGAGCCCGGGAGCGGTCGGTCTGTGCACAGCGCCCGTGCCTCCTCCCTGCACCCCTGGCCTGGCGTCCCCCTGCACGGGCCTGAGCTGACCCCGTTATCCTTCACCTTTCAGCTTGTGCTGCATCGCTCCTGTCCTCGCGGCCAAAGTGCTCCCTGGGGTCGAGGTCACCGTGGGCCACGAGCAGGAAGAAGGTGGCAAGTGGCCGTACGCCGGGACTGCGGAAGCCATCAAAGCCCTGGGCGCCAAGCACTGTGTGAAGGGAGTGACCATATCCTTTCTGGCAGTGGGCGGCAGCCTGTGCCGTGGGGTCCCCTTCTGTGGCTGGGCAGGCAGCATCTCCACCCAGGACCTGCGCAGGGCGCCATAGGCGTAGAGAGCCTCCTGCACAGGCAGGCCACGCCCCGGGGTGCTCCTGGACCCAGAGGATCCCCGCGTGGGCCAGAGTCAGAGGAGCAGTATGTCACAGTGTCCCTTCGGGTGTCTGCTGAGAATGGCTCCATCATCCTGGAGTGCCTCGCGTGCGGTCGTATCAGGTGTTCGTGTTCCCTCTCCTTCCGGTGCTGAGCAGCCCACAGACCTGCTGTCGGTCGGTGGGCACTGGGCTGGCCAGGGGTGTGGCATGGGTCCAGGGCAGGTGAGGGCAAGGCCAGTTCTGTCACCTCCCAGGGTCCGTGAGAGCTGGGGCAGGAGCCGGGGCGGTGAGGGCGGTCCCCAGGGGAGCTGCCCTCTGCTGTCCCAGCGGCATGCGGATGAGCTCTCTCAGTTGTCTTGATCTGAAAAGCAGAGGTGCCCTCACTGCCTTCAGGGTTGTGGTGGATCCTGGGCCAGCACCACGCACCCAGCAGAGGCCACGGATGCCTTGGGTCCCGTATGGGTCCCACACACACAACGCCGTTCTCTGAGGTGCCAGCTGCTTGCTTTCCCCTGGGAACGTGCTGGCCGAGTTCTGCTTAGTTCCGTCCAGTGGAAGGCGGGGCGCTGCCAGCAGGTTCCTCTGGGGAGAGTGTGCCCCCCCGCCAGTCACACTGGGAAGGACGGGGGCACTTACTCTGAGGGCAGCCGGGAGCAGTGGCTGGTGCGTGCTTCATGCCTAAATCTCCCCGTCCTTGCTGGGTGGTGGTTTTCCCTAACTGCCATGCACGAAGTACACGTGGACCAGAAAAACAAGGTGGTCACCACCCCGGCTTTCATGTGCGAGACGGGGCTCCACCACATTCACGATGGGATCGGGGCCATGGTGACGAAGGTGCTGGAACTCGCCAAGAAGTGATGCTGCCGGGGCTGTGGGCTCCGCCTCCTCCGCCGGGCGGAGCTGGTCGCCCGTTCTCCTGTGCACCTGGGCGTGTGGCGGGAATTCACGTTTCTGCTTGTAGGACACACTTGGGGTCGGGGGTAAATTGGCGCGAGAGTGTGGTCCTCGGCCTTCCCCCCAGGAGGGGGGCAGGCAGAGCCCACGCACTGGAGGGGCAGCTGGTCGTCCCGCGCCTTTAGGATGAAGTAGCGTCTGGACCCCCTGCGCATCCTGAAAGTCTCGGCCAGGGTCAGCTTCCTCAGGAAGCGGACGGGTTGGAGGCGTTACTGTGCAGTCTCGGGTTTGGCCTGCTTCAGAGTAGGTAGCGTTTGGAAGGGAAAATGATTGTAAGTCTGATAATCAGCAAACCAAAACCATGGTTATTGACAATTAAAGACTCTCCGATCTGGACTGAATATGTGCTAATTAAAACGTCATGGGGGTTTTACAGTAGGCAGCTGTCAGGTCTTCTGAAATCGGCAGATGAGGAATGTAAATGAGGTTTCTTAAACGAGTCTCAGTTCTCTTAAATTTCGGGAAGAAAGGGAAGTTGCAGGCACTCGGCCTGGGTGATGGCCCTGCTGGGTGGCGGGGGGCTGTCACGTTGGGCCCGGGCCACAAGCAGCCGCCGACACGAGGTGTCCACGGGAGAAGCAGTAGATTGTGTTGTGTCCCTCTCGTGAGTGCGGCTTCCCTTCTGGGGAGAGGGCTGCCCGTGCTTTGGGTTTGAGAAAGCTGTTGGTGGGGGCAGCTGGATTGTTTTGCCGGGTGCTGGTGCTAGCTTGGGGACAGGCGCAGGGGCAGGTGCTGCCACTCTGCCCCCCGCCACCTCGCCGCCGTGTAGGGGGAAGTGATGGCCGCCCCTCCGCCGGTCTCTCAGGGTGTAGTGGCCGGCACTGCGCTCACCAGGCCCTCCGGTTCGCCTGTCTCAGCCCTTGACGTACCAGTCCTCCTCCTCCACGGAACCCCGCTGTCTGGCGGCCAGTTTTCCCCCCACCGAAGCTGGGCCCACGGGCGAGAGCCCTCTGGCAGCTGCACTGGCTCCGGCCCCAAGGGCTGGAGGGCTGGGCCTGCCTCTGCCCGTGCAGCTGCAGGGAGCCTCGCAGGGCCCGTCGGAGGGCGGGCAACCGAGCGTAGTCTCCGACCTCAGACTTGTCCGTGGAGGCACTCCTGCGTCTGTGCGTGCGTGCCTGTCTGTGAGTACGGCAGAGCGCGCAGCTGTCAGGCGTGCACCTGGTGAGTTCTCACAAAGCGAGTGCTCCGTGGACCCAGAAGAACACAGCCTCCAGACCTGAGCCCACGGGTGACAGTGCGCCTCGGCTCTCGCCCCGGGGAGCCCCAGCCGTGCGGCTTCCCTTCGTGGGAGGATCTCCAGGTGGGCTTCTCTGCTGGGGTGTTGCCCACGTTCTGCGCTCTGCCTCTATGAACGTCTCGTAGTGCTCACGGCACCCCCATGGGCGTGTGTGTGTGTGTGTAGCTGCCGGGCTGCAGGGACGACGTGCAGCTGTGGTGGGGGACGTCAGCGGTGGTCCTGTGCACCCTGCTCTGTGCCACCAGCGCGGGTGTCAGCTCCGTCCCGTCCCGCCAGGCGCCAGGCGCCATCGGGCCGTCTGTCTCGTCCCTGCACCCCGGTGGGTGGGTGGTGCTCCCGGGGTTTTCTCTGCCGTCTCCCTGGTGTCCACCGAGGCCAGCTACCTCGTGTCTTTCGGCCTTGCGGCGATCCTCCTGTGAAGGACCTGTTCTCCCCAGGGGCTTGCCTGTCTGGCTGTCCGCCGTCTGGCCGTTGGAGCTCCGTCTGTGTTCTGGCTGCAGGCCCTTTGTCAGCTGAGTGGGTCACCGGCGTTTCCTCCCCCGTCTCCCCATTCTCCAGGGTGTCCCGGTGAGCAGATGGTCCTCATGTTTACATGGCCCCTCTACCACCCTCTGCAGTTGTGTTTCTGGGATGTCCCTGCCCTCCCCCAGTCGTGCGGCGTTTTCCTGTGTCGTCATCTGTTGTCTGTTGTGTCACCGTCCTGTTGAGGTCACCATTCGTCTGGAATCAGAGTCTGTGACTCCCCTCTGCTCTGCAGTTTGGTGTATCTCTCCCGGAGATGCCGGCGGTGCACCCTCGGACCTGAACCCTGGGCGGGGGCAGCACCGGCACCCCCACCTCCATCCACCTGGGGCCCGCCTCCCAGGGCCTGGCGGTCAGTTGCAGGTGGCCGTGGACAGACGTGTGGCAGGAACGGGGTGTGAGCTTGGGGAGCAGCAGCCGGCTGGGTTCCACCCCCTCTCACTTCTCCTCCACCTCTGCAGTGACCTGGCCGAAGGGCAGGTGGCCAGAGAGGGAAGGGAGGACTTCCCAGGAAATCCCAGAAAGTGCTGGCGTGTCACTCGGTGCTCGGGCCCTTCTCCCGTGCACTTGGCCGAGGTCCACCCCGCTGCTTCCGTGGGGTGCCTGGCGGCCCGGGTCCGATGCCTCTGCGGTGCACCGGCCTCTCTGCCTGTGCAGCCCCGGGGCAGCCCTGCGAGGTGGGTTCCTGGCTGTCCCCCGTCACAAGGCCGAGCTGGGACTCGGGTCGGGCGGAAAGGCCGGTGCTCGGATCCGAAATGCTGGAGAGCCCGGAGAGACCCGAGGCCCGGGCCCGAGTCCAGCCCTCGCTGGACATCAGTGGAGTGCTGCGTGCCCAGGGCCAGGGGAAACCGGCCGACGTGGCCCCGGCACTCACGGGGCCCAGGCTGCGGGGGCGACTGGACAGCAGCCGAGGAGCAGCAGAGGCCAGTGGCGCCGGGAAAGGGCCGGTGGGGCCGGTGGGCCAGGAAGGGGCGAGGCGCCATTTCATCCGAGTGAGGTGGAGGTGGAGGCGGCTGTGTGTGAAGAACATTCCAGACAGAGGAGGAGCCGGTGCAGAGGCCCAGTGGGCAAGGCCGTGAAGTTGCAGAATAGCAGGGGCGTAGGGCAGCAGGGCCCTGAGCCATGTGTTCTGTGTGGTGGGTCCCTGGAGGCTCCTTGACCAGAGGCCGGGCCGTGGAGCGTGCCATGGTTCAGGCTCTGCCACCAGGGGCGCCACAGAGCTGTCTGGTCTGGCTGCAGGCTCCCAGCTTCCCTCAGCCTGGACGGGTGGCCTCCCTGAGCTTCTCCTGCTGCCCCCAGTTGGGGCAGGAGCCCTTCTGGACCCCACATCCCCCCATCTGAGCCTTTCTCGGGCACCTCTTCACCACCCCTCCTGCCCCTTCCAGCTGGGAAGCCCAGACCCCATCTCTGCCACCAGCCCCCTCACCCCTCAGTGCCTTGCATCAGCATCACTCTGGAGCCGACTTCCGGTGCTCCCTGGCTGAGGAAGTGACCCTCCCACACCCACTCTGCTCTGGCGAGCTCACAGTCTGTAACTGCACACACGTGGGTGAGTGTCTCCCTGTGTGTGCACACATGTCACCGCCTTGTCATGTCGCCCACATAGACCGAGAGCTCCAGGAGAGAAGGCACCAGCTTCCTTAGAGAACAACCTCAGTGTCCCCAGGGCACCTGGGATAGCAGTCCCAGGGTGGTGGGCTCCGTGGAGACCCGAGGCTCGCTGGCCGGGCCTGGGGTCCGGGCAGAGGCCCGTCCCGGGGCCTCAGCCTGACTCCAGGCCCCTCTGCCCACCCCCACCCCCGGGCAGCACCTGCCCTTTCTCCGCTTTCTTCTCCTGCAGCGCCTGACTCCCCCTCCTGGCGCTGCTTTTGTGTGGGGGGAATTGTCTTACAGATTTTATCTTTCAGAGCAGTCTGAGGTTGACAGCAGAATGGACTGGACAGTATAGAGTTCCCATACACCTCCCCACCCCCGCAACATCCACAGCCTCCCCACCATCATCATCCCCCCCAGAGGGCACATCGGTTAAAGTGGAAGAACCTCCACGACATCACCACCCAGAGCCCACGGTTTGCTCTCTGTGCTGCGTGTTCTGTGGGTTTGGACAAACACATGATGACAGGCGTTCATCATTATGATATGTAGAGTCGTTTCACCGCCCTCAACACAGGAATTTGCCCCCCCCACCCCCCGCCCTGACCCCCGACCCCGGCAAGCAAACTCTTAACTGGCTGGTGTTGCCTTTCCCAGAACATCACGGCGCTGGAGTCATGCGGTGCGCAGCCTTCTCAGCTGGGCGCCTCTCCCTCGGGAACACGAACTGAAGGCTCCTCCGTGGCCTCGTAGCTCGTTTCTTTTCATCCCGGGAGGACATTCCGTCGTCGGGGTGGCCGTGGTTTGTCTATTCCCCCGGCGAAGGGCGTCTGAGCGTGAGCGCCTTGCGTTTCAGGGGTGTGGTGTTAGCCGGAGGGTTTTGTGGATTTTGCTGAGCTGAAGAAGTTGTCCTCTGTTTCTGAGTTCCTGAGAGGTTGTTTTTTTTTTTTAACCATAAATTGGTGTTAGAATTTGCCAAATGCCTTTCCCATGTTTATTAATTAGGAACACGTGTTTTGATTTTTCTCGTTCCGTCTGTTGCTTTTCAAATGTTGAACCAGCCTTGCCTGCCTGGAGTAAATCCCACTTGGTCGTAGTATTTAATTCTCTTTTTAAACATTGTGGAGATGAGTGGCTAACATGTTGTTGAGACTTTTTGCGCATTTGCTCACGAGAGAGAACTGGTCTGCAGTTTTCTCGTAACGCCTTTGCCTGGGGTGTCAGGGTGACGCCGGCCTCGTGGAAGGAGAGAAGAAGTGTAGTCTCTGCTTCTGTCCTCTGGCAGAGACGACAGAGGAGGGGTGTGATTTCTTCCTTAAATGCTTGGTAGAATCCGCCGCTGCACCCGTCGGGGCCTGGTGCCTCCGGTTCGGGGAGGTTATGGAATGATTGCCGCAGTCTCTCGAACAGGTGCCGCCCAGCCCAGGTCTTCCTGTCTCGCTGGGTGTGTTGGCAGATGGTGTCTTTCAAGGAATTAGCTGGTTCACTTCATCCAGGTTGACCTGTGGGCGTCGGGTGTGGGTCAGAGTGTTCTTTTCTCAGTCTTTCTAACGCCTCTGGGATCTGCAGTGCTGTTTCTTCTTTCGTTTCTGAGATTAGTCATTCGCGCCTCCTCTCTCTTCCCTCAGCCTGGCCCGGGCTCCGCAGTGTTCTCTCTTCAGAGAAGGGCCCACTCTTTGTCTCATGGATTTTCTCTGTTTCCTGTTTTCAGTTTCATCGATTTCTGCTCTCACGTTTTTCTTTTCTTCTGCTTGCTTAGGACTCACATCCAACGTGCGCTCCTTCGAGTTTTCTGAAGCGCAGGCGTAGACGGTTGATTTTAGGTCTTTTTTCTTTTCTAACTTAGGCATTTAACGCCCTACGTTTCTTTCTAAGCACTCCTTTTATTGCATCTCACAAATTTTGATTGCTGTATTTGCATTTTTCTTTAGTTCACAGTATTTTAAAATTTCTCTTGAGATATTTAACACACGTGCTCATTAGA